TAATCCAAATCTCTCCTGTCAACAAAAATCGAATTATTCCTGATGTTAAACACATGTTATAGTGACATTTGACCTCAGAAGGTACTCAAACAAATCTGCTGGTTATACAACTCTGATAGCTTCTATAGACTGTTGAATGATCAATAAACAGTTCATTTCACAGGGTAGAGGTCTGTTTGACTCAGCAGGCTGATTTTGACCTGTCCACGAGGAGGGGAGCACACTGAAGAAGGGAAGCCTAATGTTTGGTGTTATTTAACCTTTATCTAACCAGGGAGTCTTACCGAGGTTTAAAATCTCTGTAGCAAGTGAGCATTAAATAAAGTCAAAGGATAGCTGATGGTGTAGTTCTGAGCTCAGCTTTATTTTAGAATCATGTATCCAGACTGTTTCAGCCTGCGGTTTGTGGTCTACCTCTGCAGCAGCAGCTCTCCAGCAAACCTGTGGTGAGTGGTTTCTGAATGCCAGCAGACATTAGCTGTAGATGTGGACTAATGGAGGTTTTTAACCACATGATAAACCACAGGTTTACTGTTCAGTATCAGCCTGCAGCTGTGAGCAGAGAAGGACAAAACACTGATAAATCTGTCAGTACTGTTTATAAAACAATCAGTGTTTTTGACCCACACTAGGCCCTACAGAGATACAATAAAAGCATGTCAGCATCTTTGAATATACAGCATATCCTGCAGGGGTACAGTTATTTTACCCTGAAACATTTCATGCAAAAACTCACTAAGAACATAGCAGCTGATGGAAAAGAGAAAACTGAGTGGTGTATAGAGTTTAAGACTTAGCTTGGGACATTGAGAAAGTATATTGTGTATGGAGGGCATGCTACGGTGGCTGAGAGGCCAGAATATATGCAACAGACATTATGAGAAATGTGCTTAAAGTTTAGGAAGCTCCCACAGGCACATCTCAGCTTCCTCATCCGTTCCACCTACGACACGTTTCCCTGTCCTCGGAACCTCCACCAGTGGTTCGGAATTGAGGAGTGCTGCTTACTCTGCAACACCCCAAACGCAACCCTCCAGCACATATTGTTCGGCTGTAAGATCGCGCTCTCTCAGGGACGCTACAGATGGTGCCATGATCAGGTCCTGAGAAAGCTAGCTGAGGTACTGGAGCGGTGTAGACAGTGCAGCAAAGAGTCACCACCAGCAGAGAACCTCAACCACATTAATTTTTCTCACAGTAAGCGCTGGGGGGGGATTCCTAAGCCGTTTTCCCCCCTACCAGGAGTGGGACATGAGAGTCGACCTCGACAGGCAGCTCCACTTCCCGGTTGAGATTACTACAACATCTCTCCGCCCTGACCTGAACAAGGCATCCAAGGAGCTAGCAGAAGAGGCAAAGAAGAGGAGCTGTTGGCTCTGGCTGAGGAGAAAGGATAAATGCTGGGGAAAGAACAACTAATCCAGACGATAGCGGCAGACGATAACACCTCTCAGCTACAAGGGGTGGCAAGGAGATATCCCTGCCACTGCTCCGCCACCTGGAGATGTTCCAAGATCAAAGGAGCGATACGTTGGTGAATGGTGGCTCCTGGTTGATGACTCTGTTGCTGACCTGTGGGCACTGGAGGAGGTGTGACAGGCAGCAATGCCTAGAAGGTGCTCCATCTTCCTGTACGTTAATCATCCATCTCCAGGAACAATGCAAATTTAAAAACACTCAGCAGTGGAAACTAAGTGCTGCAAAAACATTTGTTGTCTTCAGTGGAAGGTGAAAATTGCTGCATTTTCCTCTATTTGTGGTGATCAGTCTGAAATTCTTAATGGTCTGTATGAATGATCACTCTCGAGATGCACACAGATTATACTGAGATCTGTTTTTAGGACCCAGGAAGGTTTGCTACATGTGTAGTCTGGATTGTACTCACCAACTCTTAATGGGTGAGTCCTTCTTCCTCCTGTCTGACTGGACAATATTCCCAGACCACGTGTAACAGTTGCCCAAGTTCTCAACAGCTTTGTTTCAAAATGGCGGCGTGCACAGTCGCAGCGGCTCACAGCTCCCAGTTTTTGGTGTTTTTCCAATCTCTTTTGTGTATTTATTTGTGTATTTTGTAGTGCCTTACGGGCTGTAAAACAAACACAAACAAGTTTTACAGCAGACAGAGGCTGCTAGACATCGTTTTTTCCACACGGCTGAGTATTACGAATGAGTTCCACTGTGCACACAACACGGTGATCTTTGGCCAACAAAATGGACAAGTTGGAACTAATTGCCGCTGAGGAACACTATGTCCAAAACTGCTGCGTTATGGTGCTAACGGAAACCTGGCTCCATTCATTTATCCCGAACGAGGCAGTACAGCTAGCTCACCGCAGTGAGAACAAGGAGGAGTCGGGTAAGAGCAGAGGAGGTGGTCTATGTGTTTGTGTGCATGATGACTGGTGCAGGGATATTTCAACCACACACACACTTTGTTCGCCAGATTTAGAATCCATTTCTGTTAAATGCCGTCCCTTCTTCCTGCTAAGAGAGCTAACAGCTGTGCTAGACCTGCATTCCTCTACCCTACTTTTTTACAGTGTAACTTCTGACTTTACTGAGTGGATCAAATAAAGGAAACAGAGCAATCCTGTTTACTTCTTCAACAGCACTTAATCAGTCTGATCAGATAGGATTATTTTCACAGGAGTTATATTATCTGTCTTTAGTAAATTGATCAGATTCACAGAATTTCAAAATCACATTAGTGTGTCCAAGAGAAGTTTAATTTTGACTGGATATTAAAGGACAGAGGCAGAGAGCAGCTCACAGGAAGAGCTCAGTGCACAGAAAGCTGATAAACTTTGCAGTTTTGCGTTTTTTGCATCCTTGCTGGTTTATTCTCTCCTGGTTTCTGAAATTCTGACCTGAAGTTCTAGTGAGTCATTCCCACAGAAGGAAAAATCCAGCTGACAAGCCTCTTTTAGGTTTGTTCTGATGCAGAAAAAAAGGGATTTAAGACAATTCTTTTATTATGTTGTGAAAAAAGGAACCTGAAGCACATAAAAATTAATTTCATTACTATTTTTATTCCAAATATGAGGCCATATGAAATACAAACGTAACTGAAGATTTGAGTGTCCATAAATCCTCTTTGACATGGACATTTATGTTAGCACCCAGTGTATCTGGTCATTTTAAATTAATTACATTTGATTATACTCACCACAGACAGATAGACAGGCGCTCCGAAGCTGGGTTGGAGCGTCTGTAGTTCGTGTCCTGGAGAGAGATGCTGTCTCCCACCTGGGCGAGGAGGTCCTCGAACTGCGCCGACGATACACGGAAATACCGCTGGAAGCGCCCATCGTCTAGGTGGAGTTCCTGGAGCAAGCGGTGATATTCCCCCAGCTCCGTCCTCCTCTGGATGGTTTCATGCAACCAAACACGGCGGTGGCATCTGCAGCGGATGTAAGGATATGCGGCAGCACGGAGGACAACGTCGGCCATCTTGAACACTTGTCACACTGAAAACTGAGCTAGTGACGTCATCGGCGACCAGCCGCGTCCCGCGACCTCCGCAACTGAAGCCTTGGACCCGGTGTGAACACACCAGGGCGCGACGCGACGCGATTACAGCGACCAACGCGACTAGGGCGCTTCAAGTCGCGTTTGGTCTGAACGCGGCTTCAGACCACACATTGTCCCCTGGTTCACCACAGCCCACACAGTCATCATTGCAGAGCTCCCTGTCCCACTGGAAGGAGGGATAAAGGCAGCCTTTGACAGAAAGAATAAAAAACACACCGAGCCGATGGCTGACTGCAGGGAAGCAGGTTTGTTGGTTGTCAGCTACCCTGTTGAAGTTGGCAGCAAAAGTTTTGTTGGAAATTTGCAGCTACCCTGATGGGACTGTCAGAGGTGCAACAGGCAGCAATGCCTGGCAGGTAAGCTCTGACCATGTGCTTACACCATGAGCAAGTTTGGGTAATGTCATCGGCAGCCTCCAACCTTGTTTTTGCCGTCTACTCAAATACAGAAAAGAGTCATTTTCTTTTTAAGTGACCTCCAACCCACACGGAGTCCTCAACAGTGAAAACAATGAATGAATCATTGAATTGAATTAGCTCACTCATCCTCAGAATATGAGGGAGGAAATAATTGGATTGATTCCAGAACTTCTGCTTTTCTTTGGAGTCTTAGGGTCACTCTTTTAATGGACTGGAACCATTAAGACGGGACCTTCCTCTTCTGTGAGTGCTCCGGTTCCTCTTTCAAGGACTGACTGCAAACCTGGCTAAACTGCTGTAGATAAAATGGCAATTGCAGTAAGTGCAAAGACTTTTTTTCCACCAGGATACAGTAAGATAAATTAGACGAGAGACAATGCTGCTAACATATGAAAAGCTTTTACTGTGTGTTTCCCTAGTGAACAAAAAGACGATGATGATGACAGAGATCATGTTGGTGACCCTGAGCTCTGGTGTGACTTAACCCTGGAAGATTAGCAAACTGTAGATACGGCTATGGCAAAGAAACAGTGCTTGCATTAACACTCTTCAGCTAATGGTGGGAGACGGTTTGAAAGAAACAAGAGTGGTATCTCCTTCTCTTTCAAGGTTATTGAAACTTAGCTCACTGCTGCACACAAGCATAGGGTTCAAAGATGTGTTTGGCGCTGAATTTAGGGAACAGAAAGGCATCCCTGCTGCAGTCAACACAAGATGGAACTCAACACTGAGACAAGTGAAGGCAGTCCTCCAGTGTGATTATCTAAAGCTCTAAAGCTTGGGGCTGTCCTGTATAAGAAGTTGGCACTCACAACATGGGAGTGGAATCTGTTGAAGGAGTTGGTTGACATCTTGTAGCCGTTTTGGAGAAGTAACTGATTTGACACAGGGGAAGAAGGTCATCACAATCAGTGCTGTTGTTCCATCCGCCTTGTCCCTCAATCAAAATCTTGAGAAACAAGAGCCTCAAGTCCAGTTCCTGAGTGGCCCGGTCAGAAATCTTCAGGCATCCCTGAGAAAAGATTTCTTGGGATCTTCATCAAAGTGAAAATGGCCAGGACACAAGATGGGATCACTGCCCATTTTTTAGACCCAGTTTACCTAAAAGAAGCTGCTTTGGATCCAGCCTTTTCTCTGCTGTGGGGAGAGTCCCATGTGCTGGGTAATCCTGACATCAAGGCAGAGGTGACACAGCAAGGTAAAGATAAATATAAACTGACTTTAGTATAACTTTCTAATCTAACTTTATTTACCGTTGAGGTGGACCACTCTCCTTCGTGCGTCCCTGAGCTGCCTGCTTCAGATCCGTCACTCTGCTGTGCTGTGAGGTAGTTAGTGGATGAAGATCGCCATGAGGTCGCTGTGCCATCTACAGGATAAGTCGGGGAACTGTCAAATGGGGAACTTTTCAAAGTGAAACTGAATCTTATTCTCTGCATATTATTTATGAAAATTGCGTCGAAAATCAGCAAGTTTTGGCCAATTATCGATAAGTCTCATATGGGCTAAAATTGTCCAATTTAATCGGCAATAAATCGGTCAGGCCCCAGTAATAAGAGCTCTTTTGTTTCTGCTGTTGTTACATGTTTTGCCAGAATTGATCCTGCAAGATATGGCAGAGACTGAGCAACCTGTGCTTCTTGTTGATGAAGAAGAGCAAGAGGACCTAACAGAAGGAGAAGGGCTGTTTGCATACCATAAGAGGCAGAAGAAGGATGTTGGGACCACTCCAGCACTTGAGGTAATTCACTACCTTCATTCACCAAAAGGACAGAATGCACTTTTGTTCTGGGCATTGAACAAAAAGACTCTTCTGTCACTCTTCTGAGTGGCAGTCAGAGTCTTGGCAGTGCCTGCCTCCAGAACTCCAGTGGAGTGAGTTTTTAGCCATGTTGGCCATGTCTCCATCGTACACAAATGACTGACAAATGACTGACAGACTTTTAACCAATTTGATCTTTTGAAAATGCAATGCATATCGTGGTATATAGTGAGAAATGTAGAACCTTTCACTGCTGATGGTTTATTGATTCTGACCTCACCATATACACACAAGCACATGAATGAAGGAGACCAGCACTTATATTTTCTCCTCTTAGAGCATTGCCTGAGGGTGATGATATTGGTCATGACAGCTAACCATTCTTTGTGAGCGAGCTTGTCTCTTTCTTTTCTGTGTATAAACCTTTAACCTTCAGAGACAAGAACAGGCTGCCTGTACACTGAGATCCATTTAAAGGTGAAGGCTGTAATGTCCTGTCCCTTTGTCACTTCCACCTACTCACCCACTCCCCAACCAATGCCCCTCACAAGCTACAGCAACACAAATCCTTCGACTGAAAAACTAGGGCTGTAAAGTGATGATCTCTAACTGCGATTAATACTGTTTTTAATCATTCATTTTTATTTTCATTCCAGGTTTTAGTCCAAAATATTAATGATGTTAATAAGTTCTTAAGTTTGTGGATCAGTGAATCAAATGAAAGCAATAAAAAAAAAAAATGATCTTGACTTTAGAGTGTGATCTGAAACCACCTAAAGAGAGAAGAAGCTTCAAAGTGTTTATTTAGTGATTTCATCTTGATCCGCACATGAAAAAAGCATCGAAAGAAATACTTCACGGCTCTGCTGAAATGAATGGACTAACTACAAGGTTTCATAACTAGCTACAAGTGTCTGACTTTGCACTCAGACATACGCTGGTTGGATTAGACTTTGAACATGTTGGATCTCTAGTTCTCAGTCGTGGTCACAGATCCAAATGTTGCTCTGGGTGGAAGGATCCCAGGCTCTGTCATTCTGCAGGTGCAAGAATGACTTGTAAGAATGACTGTTGTTGTTACACCTGATGCGGTTATCATTTGTATACCCAGCATGCGGTGCAAAAAAAACAGATGATCTTGCACCCACGTATGCACCTAGGGATGCGTTGGCTTTGAAAAGAGGCGTGGTCATGAATAAAGGTGGAGTGTCAGATATTGTCTTAGATAACAAAATGCTGGTCTACAGTCTAAAGTTTGTGGTGCAGGGATTTTCTGATACGTAAAAGGTGCATAAGTGAGATGGTAAGATGGACATTTAGAGTTCACTGTGTGCATCCCTCTTACTTTTACACCCAAACAGAGATGTGTGGTCAGCGCTAACATTTAAAGGAGAAATTCATGTTTTGTATTTTTTTTTTCTGTTGCTGTGAAATTGAGTACTATATGAGACAAAGGGGTGGTCCTGCCTCAAGTGGAGGAGTTCAAGTATCTTGGGATCTTTTTCATGAGTGAGGGTAGGATGGAATGGGAGATCGACAGGCGGATCCGAGCAAGTCAGCAGTGATGCGGACGCCTAACCGATCAGTCGTGGTGAAGAAAGAGGTGAGCTGTAAGGCGAGACTCGATTTACCGATCGAGCTACGTGCTGACCCTCACCTATGGCCCTGAATTTGGGTAATGACCAAAAGAACAAGATCGTGGATACAAGCAGCCGAAATGGGTTTCCTTCGCAGGGTGGTCGGGCTCAGCCTTAGAGATAGGGTAAGGAGCTCGGACTCTCGGGAGGCGCTCAGAGTAGAACCGCTGCTCCTCCACGTTGAGAGGAGTCAGCTGAGGTGGCTCGGGCATCTGGTTAGGATGCCTCCCGTTAGAGGTGTTCCAGACATGTCCCACTGGGAGGAGACCTCGTGGCCGGCCCAGGACCAGGTGGAGGGATCATATCTCTCGCCTGGCCTGGGAGCACCTGGGAATCCCCCCCGGAGGAGCTGGTGGAAGTAGCTGGGGTGAGGGCCGTCTGGGATTCCCTCCTGAAGCTGCTGCCCCCCCGACCCGGACCCGGATGAAGCGGAGCGACGATGACGACTGGGACTGACACCAAGCTCTCCTTTGCGTGCACTCTCCAGTATCTGCAGAAACAGACACACACACATACATCACTAAAGAGTTTTTCAGTTCTCATGACTGCTTAACCTGAACAGATATTCACAGAGTCTGAACAGTACCTGATGCATGTGCAGGACATAATATAACCATATAATCCAGGATGTCATTAGATCCTGTCCTAGACTGTCAATGAGTTTTGAGGAAGTATTGAAGTTGATGAAGCTGTGCTTCATGTGTAAATCTTCATGTATGATTCAGTTGAATAAGCAGTGTTGCCAGATCTCCCGAGAGAAACAAGCAACCAGCCCTATGAAAACAAGCCCAAAATAAGCCCAACAGGCAACCAGTCACAATGTGTAAAACAGGGGCCCCTTGTTATTGATAAAAATATATACAATTATTATTACATTATGCATAAGTGATGGCAAAATTAAAATAAACGGTGAACAAAAAAAAATTTGGATAACTTCAATTCTTTGAGTAACTTAAAATACCCCCCCGCCCCCCAAGGGAGGGGGAGTCTTCCTCGGGGTGTCTGCATGTGTGTGTGTGTGTTTATGATGCACACCCGCTACCTCTTGAGAAGACTAACATCGATACCTGCTTTTACGTCAGAGTCTCCAAACTCCAGAAAAAGTCGCTACACGCTTTTGAAGAAAAAAACTGCCAGGAGGTCTGAAAAGTCTCTTAATCTAGTGACAAAGTTATCGGGTTGGCAACACTGTTTCTCTGTCACTCTCAGATCTCGAGCGGACTACCTACCCCACCAGCGCTTTGCTTTTGTGGGGAGTTGTGAGATAACCAGGGGGGATTCGCGCAGTTGAAAAGGAAACCCAAAAAAACGCAACCTGTGACCTACAAGTTTTACAAGCGACTTCTAAGAAAAACAAGTCCAAAGTCGCTTATAATAAGTGGACATGACAACTATGCCGGAATGTCCCCTTGGATTCTACTGGTCAGTGCGATTGTTCCGGTGAATTGGACATCACTTCATTCATACATTTAGAGCTAGAAGAAGAGGAGTTAAATGTCTCAGCTTGAGACAGAAATCTGTACATAGGACATCCCTCCTGTACATAGAAGTATGTCATGACAGCTCTTAAAGGGAACGAGAGCAGACACTGATTGGTTTGATTCACGTTACGACCTAAACCTTTGAATAATGGAGGAACTGCACCCTGCGCCTAACTTTTTACCCGGATCTTAAATTGTAACTACCTAGAAGTGGTTTCAGTTTGTGCTTTAGATCTTTTGATTTTACTTGTATATGTTTTGTTTTTATTAATAAAGCAATAATGAGACTAAAATGTGAGGGCGGACTGTCAGTCATACTAAATTCATGTCATTTTTCCCTTGTGCACCTAATTTACCTTTCAAAACAGGGATTGGTGCATCTGAGCTGAGTTAACTGAGGGGTGCAGGTTTTCCACGGGTCTTAATCCTCTCTGCCTCCGTGCGTCTCAATCGTTTTCATTCACAAACTAAAGAGAGATTCAATCGTGAGTGGAACAAACTCACAGAAACACTCTTTGTCTCATTCTGTCTCTACAGATTTTTTTTTTCTCTCTGGTTTGTTTTCAGCTACCATGTGATTGAGGCCTTTCAGAGATCTTCAGCTCTCAGGACATTGATTTCAGCTTCTGGGACACAAACAAAAGCAATTTTCCTTTAGTTTGGAAGAAAATGTGACCAGCTAATACTCTGTGTTTCTCTGGGGAGTTGTGTGAATTACAGATGATGAGAGCATCAGTTTAGGCTGCAGTTTGAGCTGGATAAAGGCTTGATTTTTTCTTGTCAGTGTTTTCTATGCAGACCTTTCGTTGTTCACAACTTTCACCAAAAAGATCAAATTGTTGTTTCTGTTCACCACTCCTCTCATGAGATCTGTCAAATTTGATTTACTAATGTCACAACAGCAGAGTCAATCAGATCATATTTAGGAGTATCTGTGGGTTTCTTGAGGTCCTTACACACCGGGGCCGCCACGAATATAGAACGCGAAATCATGAAACATTCGTAGGTGAATTTTGACGCGCCTGACTATACACATCAAGCCCAATGCGATTTTGCGACTTTCCAGGGGGAAAAAGATGCATCCTGGGGAAGACTTTTCCGGGGGAAAGTCCTGTCTCCTTTGCCTCTTATTGGCTTGAAAAGCTGGAAACGTCATCAAGCCAAACGGTCAGCACTTATAGCCAATCAGAAGCAAAGGAGGGCGGGAGGTAGAGTCTACCTCAACTTCAAGTCATGGCGAATTGGTACTCCTTTTGCTTTCCAAAAAGAAAAAGAAACGTAGCACATGGATGCATCCAATATTACAAAAAAGAAGAGAACTTGGTGAGTTTCACTGCTTGGTCCAGGAGCTGAAACTGTACCACGGTCAACGTTTAGCAAATTGTCAAAGCACACAAACCATCCTCATATCAGAAATCCGATGCTATGACTCACCACAAGTTGTCCTTCAGGTTGTTATCTTTGTAATGTGTGTGTAAATGATCATAAACAATCAGCCGGTCGGCCATGTTGGATATACTGGTGAATCTGATGTCGCAACAACACGCAATCTGAATAGTCAGAAGTGGACACTCAGTCTGCGAAACTTTAGAAAAATCAACCTTGATCCGAAAAAATAAATGCCGTAATATTGCAGGACAGGAAAATGTCGCTGATGTGAACGCTTGTATTGACAGGATACGGGTTTGAAAAAAAAAATCGACGTCCGAAATAATCGCACTACAAAAACACTCCCGGTGTGTAAGGACCTTTAGACACATGTGATGCTCAAAACATCTACAACAGTTTATACAACCTGCGTTATGAAAAACTTGCTGCAAAGACTTGAATACAGAAGAACAAATGTCAAGAACAAGATAAAGGTGAGTGGATTTTAATCCTAATCTGCTGTTACTGCTGTGCACAGAAACTCTGAGAGACTCTAGGTCCAGGATGCGGAAACCTTGAACCTCAGTGTTTGCACCGATAACACAAAGAGCAGCACGTCTGGGGGGGGAGAAACTGAGCTGAGCACAGTGAGACTGGACTCTGAAGGTGACTCATCCCTGCATCCTTCATTTAACTTGTCTCTTTTAATTAGCGCTCCTCAGGTTTGTTGACTGAGTTGTGGATGAGTGAAAGTTAATAGACAAGTCATTATCCCTGTCAGCTCTGATACTTCCCTCTGTGATAACATGCTCTCACAGTCTGACGTAATCCCTGATATGAACACCAGCAAAATGACTGAACAGCGTCCTGACTGACAGGAGAGTGGCTTCATTTACAAAAACACAGATTAGACTGAACATCAGGCAGCAGGAAAAAAAAAAAAAACAACACGTCCCTGTGAATGTATCCTTGATGTTTTAATTCAATCTCAAACCCTGACAGCTGTGAAAGGAACATTTAAACATTTTTACAGTCTGATATATATTAGTACAGACCTGTTCACAGCAGCGGAAAAAGCATTGGAGTGCATGTTTGATGCACAGAGGGGTGTGGTCTTATGATATCATTTACACTCTTAAAAACATTGGGTTAAAAACAACCCAATTTGGGTAGTTTGATTAAATATTTGACAGAACACATGCTGGGTTAAGTTTATCCAACTAATTGGGTTGGTTCATTTACCCAAAAATTGGATTGTTTATATAACCAAACGAAGAGTTCACAATAACTACTTTGCTGGGTTCTTTAAACCAAGAATGTTGGGTTGTTAATATCTGATATAATATTACAAAACCCAATTCAATTGAAGTTGGGAAATTGTGATAAATGTTAATAAAAACAGAATACAATGATTTGCAAATACACTGATTTGAATACACTACAAAGACAAGATGTTTAATGTTCAATCTCATAAACTTTATTTTTGTTTTTGCAAATACTAATTAACTCAGAATTTCATGGCTGCAACACATGCCAAAGTAGTTGGGACAGGGGCATGTTTACCACCGTGAACCACCAACAGGTTCAACCTTGTGGTTGGGTTGAAAAGACAACCCAACATTTTTTTGTGTGTATGCAAGGTAGATTCTTCTTAAGTCAATACAGTGCTGGTGGCTTTAATGCTGTGGTTTTGGTGAGATGGAGTGATTGAAGCGAGAGAAGGAGACACACTGACTATTTCCTGTCCTATGAGTTTACAGCTGTTTACAGGTTAGTACATGTCAAAAATCACACATATGGTCCATATGATGTCTAAACCATGAAGAAGTAATGTTGTCTTGAGGTGTTTCATTTTTAAAGTCGGAAATTCCAAGATGCCTCTCCGGTACATCACCCAAACTGTTTAGATAATGGCTTCTTAGTTTGAGGTTAAGTGCGTAATGTGAACTCGGCCAGCTAAGGGACTGTTTAGGAAAGATAGAAATGATAGAAACAGTTCAGACTCAAAAGAAACTGCAGCAGAGGCACAGCTTTGACTCAAAGACTGAGGAACAGTTCTGTTTTTGTTTTTTTCCACACTAAAGACTTGTTAATGAAAAAATACAGATTGAACCAGAGCTTTGTTTGTTGATTGTGTCTGTGTGATGAATATCAAACAGCATGTGTGTAATTTATGGCATTATTTAAAGTGTTTATTTGAAGGCCTCTTCATTAATGATATAAACAGTCTGTTAATGCACTCTGTGTCTGAACCCACAGAGTAGTTACATAACCCCCATCAGTCATCAGTGTTCAGGCACTGAGCCTACGTGCATTACTGAATAAAGTGCACCAATAATATTTACTATTCATCTTAATGGTTTATTCCACATGTAACTGAAGGACCAATCAGAGTGCAGGAAGAGTCTAATGTCAGAGACACAGCAAGGAGGAAGTGTGACGGAGGCAGAGAGTGTGGAGGCAGGTGTTCAAATATTAAAAATTCAAATCAAAATCAAAAATTAATGTGTCAACAATCATCAACAAAATCAGAGTTATAATTCAAACTGTAAGTGAAAACCTTGTTCAAAAAAATGAAAGGCTATCCTGCCCAGTCAAAACCATGTCCCAGGGCCGTGGCCAGGACAGTCAGTCTAAAGGTCCTTTCACACTGGGACCGTTTTCTTTCTTGTGATTATTTCGGACGTCTATATATTTTTTCGAAACCGTATCCTGATGCCACTCGGATACGCCTGTCAATCTCCCATTCCATCCTACCCTCACTCGTGAACAAGATCCCAAGATACTTGAACTCCTCCACTTGAGGCAGGACCACCCTGGCAATCTACCTTTTTCCGACTGAGGACCATGGCCTTGGACTTGGAGGTGCTGATTCGCATCCCAGCTGCTTCACACTCGGCCGCGAACCACCCCAGCAAGAGCTGAAGGTCACTGCTCAACACAGCTAGAAGTACCACATTATCCACAAAACGCAGCAACGTGATCCTCTGCCTGCCTAACTGGACACCCTCCAACCCCCGGCTGTGCCTAGAAATTCTGTTCATGAAGGTTATGAACAGAACCAGTGACAAAGGGCAGCCCTGGTGGAGTCCAACTCTCACTGGAAACGGGTCCGACTTACAGCCGGCTACACAGACCAAGCTCGTGCTCATTTGGTAGAGGGATTGGACGGCCCTAAATAGGGAACCCTCCACCCCGTACTCCTGGAGCATCCCCCACAGGATTCCCCTGAATGTATATTTAATTATAATAAAATATTATTGGTGTTTTGCAATGATCATAGCTCTCACAGTGAGCTGTTTTCTCCAACACAGGCATCAAATGTTGCACATCAACAACAACACAGGTCTGATAGAAATCACAAAGCACTCTCCTCATAGATATAAACAAATATGACCAAAATAGAAAGAATGTGAGAAAAAATGTACAGATGAGTCTTTTACATGCTTATGCAGATGATATACTGTATGACTGTACCTGCCTGTTCACAGGTGCAGGGGTGGAACGGTCAGGGTACAGTGGGCCGTCTTCTGTAACAGACCAGATCAGAGTCAGAGTTGAATGCATATTTTCATGTTGGATTTGTTCTTCATTACTGGTGACACCCTGACCCTGATGCAGGGCCAGAAAATAGATTTAAAGGGATATTCCAGTATTTTTGACATGGGGTTATATATCACTAGTGAGTGTACTGGACACAGTGGATGTAGGTCAGCTCAATGCCTTTAGTAAGAAAGTAAGAAAGATTTGTTCACTGTATCAGTCAGTGCTTCAGAGCCCTGCAGCGAGTTTGTTCGTTGAACGGGCCCCTGCTGCTAAAGTCACAGCATTGTTCACTGGGTGACACATGTCATTCATTTGCCAAGTCCCGAAGAAAGAATCACTCCCCTGCCCTGAAAAACTCAACTCTGTGTATCGCTGTTTGCGAAAACAACACAGCAGCAAGCAGCACGCCCGCTAAACAAGCGCGAGTCAGCGTTCTTTTATGTCGCGGAAAAGTGGAGAGATTAATAATAAAAAACATTGCAGCTGTAGCGGGGATTCTGATACTTTTAAATATATCAAATAGCGTCTTGATTTAAATTGGCTGAAATTAAATCCTTCTTGCAGGAAAGTTTATACAGGTGTATTAATGTAAAGGCACTATAATGACCTGTTTTATCTTAGCCTTAGTGAATAAACCGGTGTTCAGCAGTAAGTGAACGACACTACATCCCCTCCCTCCTCTGCCTGAAAAAAGTCATTCGAAAGTAGTTTGTTTCATTCACCATGTCGTTCACTGACTGATGTTTCCTTCACTGACTGTTTCCTTCACTGACTGATACATGTCGTTCACTGACTGTTTTGTTTTACTGACTGTTTCGTTCACTGACTGATACATGTTGTTCACAGACTGAAACATGTCGTTCACTGACTGATACATATCATTTATTTACTGTGAGTGAATCACGAGACTCCGCCCACTAGCTTGCTGGCTGCGTGTCGTTTGTCAGAGTCAGAGGCAGCAGTTCCACTTCGACCGGCATGCCAAGCATGCAGCTGAGCTCAATTGAACTGAAAAAGGAACAAATCAGGTCTTGGAGCGATTCAGTTCACGTCGTTCACTCAGCAGTTCAGTACTTTTGAACGAAACGTTCATGAACGACACAACACTAGGCTAGGCTACAATTTTCCGTCAGAAGAAGGCCCATCTGTTTTTGCATTGCAGTGGGATCAGCCAACCCGGTCTATGATGTATCAGTCACTGATTTATTGTGAATTTAGGTATTTCTGCATCTTAGTTTTCATAATGTTGGTGGAAATGCACTATGAGAGTGGTTCATAAGTCCAGTCTTGGAGGCCCACTGTCCTGAATGTTTTGGATGTTTCCCTGCTCCAACACACCTGATTCAAATGATTAGCTCGCTATTAAGCCATTACAGAGCTTGATAACGAGCTAATCATTTGAATCAGGTGTGTTGGAGCAGGGAAACATCCAAAACATGCAGGACAGTGGGCCTCCAGGACTGGACTTGAGGAACCACGGCACTATGATATACATAAAAACCTGAAGTACCCCTTTAAAATGACACCCAGGAATCACTGTTCATATTTTATGAGTTTATCTTTTAGTACTTAAATGTGACCCTACTTACTCTATCATTAAAACAAACAGTCTGAATTCATTGAAATGCTGACTTATTCATGAGTCTGAATGTGAATTTCTGCCCCAAGCATTAAAGCAGCTGTTACCACTCAGTAAAAAAAAATTAGGATTGATCACAGAGAGAAGCTCTTAAAAGCATCCCTTTATAATTTTTTATATTCAGAGAGTGATTTGAGTGCAGGGTTCAGCTGATCCATTAAAACTCCCTGATGGATGTTCTTGGTGCACCGCTCGGGTTTTCTAACTAATTTCATCACAGAGGATACAAAGAAAATGCAGCTTGGTAAATACGCATAAGCTATTAAATGTGGAAGTTGGTGGGTGTGTTTGTGTGTGTCTGCAGGAAAATAAAGTAAAGAAAGTATTTGTTCTCCTTCACCTGTTGCCAAACAGAAAGCGTATGCCTGAAGGTGAGAGCAGCATTTTTCCTTCACTCTAACAGAGCACTAACAGGTCTGTGAACTGCTCAGACTAACGGTTTTATTCTTTAGAGGAAACAGGTCTAAGATCGGCCTGATTATTTCAATCTCTCTAGACTTTTATTTTGAAATACTTCAAAATACTTTCTTATAAAAACAGATGACCTACATTATGTGCGGGCTAGGCTGAATTTTTCCAATTTTCCCCCTTTGGTGTGTCTGATAAGAACTTTATTTTGTGGCATGTTCTGTGAAATCTCTCAAAGCTCTAACTGATGTCATTTTATAGGTATGATACCCAGCATCAGGACAGGATTATGTTGAACAATAAATACAATTTACCGGACTAGTGAATTAACTAAACATTAGACTGGATATTTGTTTCTACATGGTATTGTTGGTTCTTTAGAGAGTCTTAAATCACCTGTTTGGCATCTGACAGCAGTCCAACATCTGCGGTGTGTGTTGAGCTCTCGGTGAAGCTTCGATTCAGCTGATCAACTGCTTTTAATTGACCCTCTGAAGCATTGATTATTAGCTTTGTTGGCTTCGGTTCAGCTCCAGTAAACCCCAACATTTTATTACCGGGAGGCTCACACTCCTCAGTCTGTCACATTTCAGCAAACATCAAATATCACTCTCATATCGAGGTTCTTATTCAGTCTGCATGCTTATTCATAAAACAACCTTAGATCATTCTATGATCCTTTTTTTTTTTTTTTCAAATCAAACAAATGAGATTAATAATACTTTATATAAAATGCATCATTTAAACATGTGTAAACATTACTATTTGCTCTGCAGTTTGTGAAGCATAAATACTGCTTTCTTCGTACAGGCCTGGTACCAGAGGCAGCAGAAGCAAATAAAAGACCCAGTCTACAGTGGATATAAAAAGTCTTCACACCCCTGTTCAACTACCAGGTTTTCGTAATGTAAGAAAATGACAGCAAGATAAATATTTTCACAACTTTTTTCACCTTTAATGTGACCTATAACCTGTACAATGTAATTGAAAAACAAACTGAAACCTTCAAAGGGGAAAAATATAAAATAAAAAAACTAAAATAACCTGGTTGCATAAATATTCACACCCTTAAACTAATACTTTGTTGCAGCACCTTTGGCTTTTATTACAGCACTCAGTCTTTTTTGGGTAGGAGTCTATCAGCGTGGCACATCTTGATGGGGCAATATTTGCCCACTCTTCTTTGCAAAACCGCTCCAAATCTGACAGATTGTGAGGGCATCTTCTGAGCACAGCCCTCTTCAGATCACCCCACAAATGTTCGATGGGATTCAGGTCTGGACTCTGGCTGGGCCATTCCAAAGTCTCAATCTTATTCCGGTGAAGCCATTCTCTTGTTGATTTAGATGTGTGCTTTGGGTCATTGTTGTGCTGAAAGATGAAGTTCCTCTTCATCTTCAGCTTTCTGGCAAAAGGCCGAAGGTTTTGTGCCAACACTGACTGGTATTTTAAACTGTTCAAAATTCCCTCCACCCTGACTAAGTCACCAGTTCCAGCTGAAGAAAAACAGCCCCAAAGCATGATGCTGCCACGACCATGCTTCACTGTGGGTATGGTGTTCTTTTGGTGATGAGCAGTGTTGATTTTGGCCCAAATATACCTTTTACAATGATGCCCAAAAAGTTCAACTTTGGTTTCATCAGACCATAACACATTTTCCCACGTGTTTGGGAGATTTCAGATGTCTTTTTGCAAAATTAAACCAGGCTTTAATGTGTTTCTTTGTAAGATAAGGCTTCCGTCTTGCCACCCTACCCCATAGCCCAGACATATGAAGACAGCGGGAGATTGTTGTCACATGTACTACACAGCCAGTACTTGCCAGAAATTCCTGCAGCTCCTTCAGTGTTGCTGTCGGCCTCTTGGCAGCCTCCCTGACCAGTTTTCTTCTTGTCTTATCATCAATTTTGGACGGACGTCCTGTTCTTGGTAATGTCACTGTTGTGCCATATTTTCTCCATTTGATGATGACAGTCTTTACTGTGTTCCATGGTATATTTAATTCCTTGGAAATTCTTTTGTAGCCTCACCTGACTGATATCTTTGAATAATGAGATCCCTCTGATGCTTTGGAAGCTCTCTGTGGACCATGACTTGTGCTGGAAGATGTGTCTACAAAAATGTCAGGAAAAGCTACTAGAACAGCTGAACTTAATTTGGGGTTAATCAGAGGCACTTTAATTGGTGACAGGTGTGTGCTGACTCCAATTTAACCTGAGTTTGAATGTTATTGGTTAAATCTGAACCCCCCAGCAGATCCCCAGTTCTTAATGGTGTTCACACTTATGCAACACATGATCTCAGTTGTTTATTTTTACTTCACCTCCCTGAAAGATTTCTGTTTGTTTTTCAATTGTGTTGTACAGGTTATAGGTCACATTAACGGTGGAAGAAGTTGTGAATTTATTTATCTTCATGTAACTTTTTTACATGACAAAAACTTGGCATTTGAACAGGGGTGTGTAGACTTTTTTTATCCACTGTATGTTTAAGAATCAACTCCTCCCTCTTTGTGGACCAGACTGGAAGTTAGATCCATAGTTATTAATAATGATCTTTAGCTTCACCTCTCCTGTGATTCATACATCTCATTGAGTAAAAACTTACAAATCATCTTCTTCCACTTTGATCCACTGGAGTCTCCAGCCTGCTTGTTTCTGTTTCAGTTATTTTCTTTATGATTTATCCAGATGGAAGGTGTTCAGTCAGCTGAAGTCAGAAACAGCACGGATTATAGCTGCAGAAACAAACCTGGAGGAGCGTCAGACATACTGTGATTTATTCAGTAGCATCATCGGGTTTAATCTGTTTGTTTCATGGAGGAGGTAAAACCCTGCAGGTCTGCAGACTGTGCAGCTCAGAGGAGCAGATTAAAACCAGACTAAACTGATGGACGGACTCAGGTACAAGATATACAGCTTAATTCAGACTCGGACCCCATCACAGCCTTTACTCTGATCTCCATTGTTCACATCTACTGCATGTGTGTGTTTGTATGACACATAGTGTGTTCGTCTTCTTCCTCCTGAAGTGCTGCGGTAAACGAGGAGGAGGAGGAAGACAAAGACACAGGTGGAGAGGAAGAAAGAAAGACAGACGTGGGCCTGAGAATAAAAGAAAAAAAACTAGATTTAAACTGAGAGGGAGCTGTGTGTGTGTGTGTGTGTGTGTGTGCGTGTGTGTGTGTGTGTGTGTGTGTGTGTGTGTGTGCGTGTGTGTGTGCGCCCGCGCACCAATTGAAGAGTGTCATTATTCTGAAGGAGGGGAGCTTCAAAGGAGACATTTTACACAATACAGTAGCCCTGATTTATCTGCACACAAGCACACACATCCACAAATACTCTTACACACACACACACACACACACACACACACACACACACTCACACACACACACACACACACACACACACACACACACAGGTCTTACTGAGGAGCTCATGTGGACTGACTGGTCTTTTTCTGTTTAAGGTTTCGAAACGAAAAATCAACCATGATCCGAACAAATAAATGCCGCAATATCGCAGGACAAGAAAACGTCACTGATGTAAATGTTTGTATTGACAGGATACGGGTTCAAAAAAAATATTAAAGTCAGAAATAATCGCAAGACAAAAACGGTCACGGTGTGAAAGTACCTTCAGACCACATTGTCAACTGGCAGTGATGTTAATTTCTCTTAAAAAACTTGATAATAAATGTGAAAAATTATAAATGTGAATCAGCAGCTGTGATCCTACCATGAACCCAGATATAGGAAGTAAATGCTGATGACATTGGGGTAAATGATTTTCCTGGAGTCTGTTTATATCTATAAAAATACACCTCTCACTGTATTTAAGATGTATGGGAAATGCCTTCAAGAATGCCATCTCAAGGTGGAGATGATGGAAAGAACAATCAGCCAGTTTCTCCGAAGGTGGCTTGGGCTCCCCAAGTCACTTAGCAGCATCGCCCTGTATAGGCATTCCACCATGTTGCAGCTTCCAATCAGTGGCTTGACAGAGGAGTTCATGATCACACGTGCCAGGGAGGTCATGATGTACCGTGACTCCTCTGACGCCAAAGTCGCCGCAGCAGGTATCCAAGTTAAAACCGGGAGGAAGTGGAAGGCACAGGAAGCTGTCGATAGAGCGGAGGCACAGTATCCTGGTTGGCAACACAGCAGTGGGTAGGGCGGGACTTGGTAGCTTTCCCAAGCCCCACTACGACAAAGCCTGGGGGAGGGAGAAACACATAATGGTGCAGGACCAGATACGAGCAGAAGCGGAAGAAGGCAGCCGGACGAAGATGGTCGGTATGTACCAACAAGGGGCCTGGACAAGGTGGGAGCACTCTTCACAGCGAAAGATCGCCTGGCAGAAACTCTGGAGACTTGAACCCTAGCACATAAAGTTCCTCATCCAGTCCATGTATGACGTTCTCCCAAGTCCAACCAACCTGCACCGCTGGGGCTTAGCAGACACCATGGCATGCCAGCATTGCCAGAAGAGAGGCACCTTGGAACACATCCTCAGTTGCTGTCCAAAGGCACTGGGAGACAGGCGGTATCGCTGGCATCATGACCAGGTCCTCAGGGCCCTGGCAGACACAGTCAGCACAGCAATCACCAGCAGCAAGTACCAGCACACCCCCAAACAGTCCATCACCTTCGTCAGAGCTGGGGAGAATGCACAACAGCAGTCAAGTTCCTCAGGAGGGCTTCTCACCACTGCACAGGACTGGAAGCTCCAAGTCGACCTGGGAAGACAGCCCAAGTTCCCAGAACACATCTCTGCCACTTCACTCTGCCCAGACATGGTGCTAAGATCAGAGTCAACAAAGCAAGTGGTCCTGGTAGAGCTTACTGTCCCATGGGAAGACTGGATCGAGGAGGCCAATGAGCGTAAGAGGACCAAATACGCTGAGCTGGTTTCGGAGTGCAGGACCAAAGGCTGGAAAGCCCGATGCCATCCAGTTGAGGTGGGGTGCCGGGGTTTTGCTGGCCAGTCACTCCACCGAACCCTCAAACTCCTTGGAGTTAAAGGTCAGCTGTGCAAAAGAGCCATCAAGAACATCACAGCCTCAAGATGGCTGTGGATCCGGAGGAGGGATCCTTGGAGTACCAGACCACTTGGACACAAGATGGGGGCTGATCACCCCTGACTGGGTCGCCTGGGCGAGGGTGTTTGATGATCAAAGACCCGAAACAACCAATGACCTCAGGTTCATCACTGATGATGTGTCCAAGTAGCACCTAGAGGTGTATTTTAGAACTTAGCTAAAGCACAAAGAAATTTTCCTCTCCCTCCAGATCAGCATGCAGAATTTGCAGATGCCCTGATGAGAAAAGCGTTACTCTGTGTGCATGTATAATGATTCTCTCTCACCCCACATTCATAAATCCTATATTGTGTATCCTCACACACATACGGAGAGGATAAATCAGCAGGATCCTCAGGATTACACTCATTCTGGTGATGTATAATCTTGTAAGGTGGAAATAATAGGCTGCGTGTAAGTACAGCCTTTTTTCCAACACTCTCGCTGTTGTTCTTCTGTTATGTGCCCACTTTGCTGCTGTAAATTGCAGACCTGTTTTCTCCAGGTGATCATCAAAGTTTCTCCTCTGAGGATGATGAAAGGACAATGATGTGCAGAAAAAAAAAAAAAAACTGAAAAGTACGGGGTCAGAAACTGGAGTCTCTGTGTAACAAAAGGTTTGAACAAAATGTTCAGGATTGGCTTTTACATAATGATGCAGAACGATTTCACCTCATGTCATCAGGTGTCTTTATTTCCAGTGTGGCTGAAGTCAGTGATGATGCTTTTATGAGTGATTCAGTGATCAAACTCAGAGCTGTCAGTGCAGGATGACGAAGTGTCCTCTGTGTTTCCTTTGATTCAAACAGGGACTCATCTGATTCACTGCTACTATTTAAAACAAAACACAAAAAAACAGAGACAGCCATTTTCAAAAAGTTAACGGATCACTGCCTTTTTTTAAAAGACAGATTTAGACCTCAAACTGGTGGAAAGGTCATGAATCAGGGTGTGTGATGGACTATTAGGATCCTCTCAAACCTACATCAAGCTACAGCTCATGTGAAATCAGGCTCTTTGAGACATAAAATGGAAACCTGCATTCTATAATGTTACCTGGGCAAAATAACTTTTTATTCAACAGACTACAGCACACAGTCTGAAGTAGTGTTTCTTAACTAATGGGTTGGGACCCAAATGTGGGTCATGGACCTGTTTTCATTGGGTCGCAGGCATCTGCCAGGGCAAAAAAAAGAGTAAATAAATTGATTTCTCTGCTTTAACTTTAAAGGGCACTGTTTATGCAAAAAACTGTCTTTTATTCACACTCCTTAACTAGTGATGGGAAAAACAGTTCTTTTGACTGCACTGAATCTTTAGAATCCGTTCATTAAAAGGATTTGTTTCAAAGATTCGTTCACTGAATCAGTCAGTTCTTCAGAGCCCTGTCCTGCCAGTGCAGTACACAAGTTAGTGACACAGCCGCGAGTTTGTTCATTGAACGAGCCCCTCCCCTCCCCTGCTGCTGAAGTCACAGCATCGTTCACTTGGTGACACATGTCATTTATTTGCTAAGCCCTGAAGGCAGAATCACTCCCCTGCCCTCAAAAACTCACCTCTCTGTGTATCGCTGTCGGCGAAAACAACACAGCAGCAAGCAGCACGCCCGCTAAACAAGCGCGAGTTGTCATTCTTTTATATCGCTGAAAAGTGGAGAGAATAAAAATAAATAAACATTACAGCTGCAGTAGGGATTCTGCTACATTTAAAGATATCAAATAGAATATTGTTTTAAATCGGCTGAAATTAAATCCTTCTTGCAGAAAGGTTTATACACGTGTTTTAATGTAAGGGCACTATTATGCACTCTTTCATCTTAGCCTTAGTGAATAAACCATTGCTCCACAGATCAACGCTTCACCCCTCCCTCCTGCCTGCATCAAGTCAATCGGAAGTAATTTGTTTCGTTCACCATGTCATATTGACTGACTGAATCATTCCATTCACATACTGAAACATGTCGTTCACTGACTGACTGAATCATTCTGCTCATTGACTGAAACATGACGTTCACTGACTGACTGAATCATTCCGTTCACATACTGATACATGTCATTCACAGACGTTTCGTTCACTGACTGATACATGTTGTTCACTGACTGTTTCGTTTACTGACTTATGCATGTTGTTCAGAGACTGCTTTGTTCACTGTTTGATGCAAATCTTCTATTCTCTGTGAGTTAATCATGAGACTCCTCCTGCCCGCTTGCTCGCTGGCTGGCTGTGTGTTGTTCACCAAAGAGTCAAAGGCAGCAGTTCCACTCCCGACCAGCATGCCAGGCTCATGGCTGAGCTAAACTGAACTGACAAAGGAAAGAATCGGGGCTTGGAGTGATTCAGTTCACGTCGTTCACTCAGCAGTTCAGTACTTTTGAACGAAACGTTCATGAATGACACAACACTATCCTTAACAACAGGTGGCGATAATACCGAGTAATGCTGATTCACACTTACCATTTCACAGCATAGAAGAACCTGAAGCCCCTAAAATCCTTTCAGCACCTTTATGAAGTCCTCCAAGACATTGCAGAGTCCTCCTCCAACCTGGGACACAGGTCCTTCTATTATCTATGACCAGAGTCTTTGTACAAACAAAGATCTAAGTCTTCCTCTGTGATGTGACTCGAGTCCTCCTCCAAGCAGTGACCCAAGTCTTCACTTTGACCCAAGTCCCCCTTTTATCTGTGGCCCAAGTCCTTGTATTAGCACTGATTGAGCTGTGACCTGAGTCCTCTCTAATCATGTCTAAGCTTGGAAAGGGGAACTGTGTCACAATCTTCAAAGATTTGTACTGAGTCATCTTTTGAGCAGTGAGCAGTTTTGAGCAAGTTCTTTCTCAAGCTGGAACACAAGTCATCCTCAGAGATAAGATCCAAGTCCCCCTCCTAACCTTGACCCAAACCAAAGTGATTGAAATCCCTTACCCAGCTGTTGATTTTAGTCCTCCCAAGTACTTTTCCAAGCTGTAACTAAGGTCCTCTTCCAATCCGTCACCCAAGTCCTCCACGCGTGACCGACGCCAACTCCTAAGTCCTCCTCCAAGTCCTTTTCCAGGCACTTGTCAAGTCCTCCTTCAGATTCCTGACAAAGCTCTGTTCAGAATCTGTCAGGCTGTCACCCAATAAATATATTAATCATAGACATGATTTCTAAAGCAAAGGATCAAAGTCCCCAAGTTTCCACCTGACGAGGGATTTACAAAAGAGATCTAAAAAGAAAATGAAAAACTCTAAAAGGAATAAGCTGAGAGGCCCATGAAGAACGGAGGGTCACTTAAGGTTTGTTTGCAGACAAAGACATGAAGCTCATGATTGGACCCTGGGCGTACTCTCTCAGCAGAGGTAAATGGAGTAGCTGGACTGTGTTCATTCAGCATGCTCTCTGATCCCCTGAACCCCCCCCCAAAAGCACTTTTTTTTTTACATCAGAAGTACCACTAAAGATGAGGGGAAAAAAGAAAGGAGATCAAGTTGAAGCCTTGCAGAGCTGATTCTCAATTATACGAGGGCTGCATGATTTGGGCCAAAAATAAAATCCAGATTTTTTTTCACTGAAAACTTGATTTTCTATTTCAGTGACAACTTCATTAAATTTCATTTCAATAATGAGTTTTATCATCTCTCAAAATGAAAACACTGAAAACGATGGAGTGCATATGCCAAGCTGGTAAGTGGCTGCAGAGGAAATGCGCAACAGACAGAAGAAGAGTACAAAGTAGGGCCTGACCAATTTATCGGCGAGCAGTTTAATCGTCCAATTTTAGCCCGTTTGAGACTAATCGGTAATCGGCCAAAACTAGCCGATTTTCGCCGGTATTTTCAGAAATAATAGGTGGAGAATAAGATTCGATTTCACTTCGAAAATGTTCCGCCATTTGAAAAGTTCCCCGACTTATCCTGTAGATGGCGCAGCGACCTCATGACAATCTTCATCCACTAACTACCTCATAGCACAGCAGAGTGACGGATCTGAAGCAGGCAGCTCAGGGACGCACAGAGGAGAGTGGTCCACCTCAACAGTAAATAAACCAGTTTGTGAAGTACACAATAAGTCAACAAGTTTCAGATCAACCCACTTCACGATGTTCCCCGCTGTGCTGGTCTCGGTCACGCCGAGTTAACGGTGAAGCACCATGGAATATGCAAGCTAAAGTTAGAGTTAGCCATCTGCTATTAGCCTTGCTACACTGTTAGCCGTGCCAGTAACAGTAGAATAAACAACATCGTTACATGATCGAGCTACTTCTCTTACTGAGGCAGCTGCATGTCTCCAGATGAGACCAGACCAGAAATGAGTAATGTGAGTTCCATGTGGATAGGTTGATACCACCTTCAGACAGACTTTGCAGCAGGGAGTGGTTTGCTCTAAATGAAATTCAGATATAATGCAGATAAATACTTCAGATAATTGACAAGATGGCGCCATGGTGTTCGGCTGGCCGTCTGTCGCTCTGCTCTGTGTTTGCTGTGTGTTTTGTGTTCTACCTTCTCTGTCATGAGGTGTCGTCTCTCCTCACCTATGACCGACATACTCTGCTTGAGATTGGAGGTTTCTCCAGTAAAGATCCATTGGTGAACTTTTCTCCATGCCTCGAGGGGATCCCGGCGTTTCTGAGGCGTCCTCCACCCCATCTTGCCTGGCGGAGATGCCGGAAAAGACGGGGAAAACGCGGTGGCTACCGGGTCAGGCTGGAGGCTCACCTGAGGTCTGTTTGTGTGTACAACTGTGGCATTGGTCTGCGCTTCCTGGACTATCTTCCCGCCCTGGGATCGAGGAGGATTGGGGCCCGATGGATCCGGCCGGTGCTCCCGGATGCTAGCTGCGGCACCTGCTCGGCGGACTCCGATCAGCTGTTGCTACCTGCTAGCTGCTGGCGTTTTCGGACCGGGAGTCGTGGTGTGGACCGTCGGAACCTCCGCACGCTGAGGCGTGCCTCACCATCGGACACCGTTGATCTCCATCTGGCTTTGCTGAATGTGAGATCGGTCGCCAACAAGACGTTTCTTCTCAATGACTTCTTTACCTCACGCAAACTGGATTTTATGTTCCTGACTGAAACCTGGCTCCGGAAAGATGATGTTGCTCCTTTTTCGGAGCTCCTTCCCCCTGGATGCAGTTTCCTCAGCTCCCCTCGCACCACCGGCAGAGGTGGAGGACTGGCATCGGTATTCAAGTCCACCTTTCACGTCCAGCAGTCTCCAGCTGTCAACAGCTCCAGCTTTGAGCTCCAACTCTTCCAGGTAAAAATCCCCGCTACTGTTCTCTTTGCTGTGGTCTATCGACCACCAGCATTTAACAAAGACTTCATACGGGACTTTGCAAACTTTGTGTCGGGTATTATACTGGAGTATGATCACTTCTTAATTGTCGGTGATTTTAACGTGCACGTCTGCTGTGAGACCAAACCGCTGGCCAGAGACTTTCTGAATCTCATAAATTCTCTTAATCTCACGCAGTCTGTTACCGAGCCGACGCATGAGAAAGGACATACTCTGGATCTTGTACTGTCTTATGGTCTGAATGTTCAAATAACCTAAATCTGTCACACACATCTTTCCGACCATCTACCTGTTTTATTCTCCCTCTCATTGACTGCACCCCGCACCACGGAGTCCGCGCCGGCTCGCTGCCTCCGCGCTTTTAACTCTTCGACTCATCTGCAGTTAGCTGTAGCCTGGAAAGACTTGTATTCTCCTGGTGACTTTGGCGATCTCAGTGTGGATGCCTGTATGAAAAGGTTTGATACTCTTTGCACTGAGATCTTAGACTCCATTGCGCCGATGACTTTGAAGCATGTTAAGCCACAGATCGAGCCGTGGCTAAATGAGTCCACTCGTGCGCTCAGACGCGCATGTCGACAGGCGGAGAGAAAGTGGAAGAAAGACAGTCTCCAGATTTCTCGGGATCTCCTTCGGGATTGTCTGGTTAATTATCAGCAGGCCGTTAAAGCTGCAAAAGCGGAATATTTCTCCACTCTTGTCTCCAAAAATGCTCATAAACCCCAGGTTCTTTTCAATGTTTTTGATTCACTTGTGAACCCCTGTGATGCTGTCTCTGTGGAACCATCTGCTTCTCTGTGCGAGGAGTTTTTGGAATTTTTTGTTAATAAGATGTCTGCTCTGAGATCTCCACTCCCTCAGCCTGCTCTGGACCCCTCAGCTTCTGCAGCAAGCTCAGCTGTTTTCCACCAGTTTGAGCCTGTTTCTTTTTCTGCACTGGCTGAGATAGGAGAGCACTTGCGCCCTGCCACCTGCCCATCTGACAGCATCCCTTCCCGACTGCTTAAAGAGGTTTTTAGCTCAGTTGGGTCTTTTATTCTGTTTCTTATAAATCTGTCTCTTATTTCTGGATGCGTCCCATCCTCTTTTAAACATGCCCCAGTGCAGCCTCTACTAAAAAAGAAAACCCTGGATCCCCTGTCGCTTTCTAACTTTAGGCCAATTTCTAAGCTCCCATTTATTTCCAAGGTTTTAGAAAAAGTTGTTCTTGGCCAAATACAACATTTTTTAGATCAAGCCAATATTGGTGAGCTGTTCCAGTCAGGTTTCAAGCCTCTTCATAGCACTGAAACTGCTCTTTTAAAAGTTTTTAACGATCTTCTTTTAAATCTTGACTCGGGTGATTGTGCCTTCTTAATGCTTCTGGACCTTACAGCAGCATTTGATACGGTGAACCACTCCATCCTCTTAGCACGCCTTGAGCACACTGTAGGCATTAAAGGCCCCGCTCTAGAATGGTTTAAATCCTACCTTGCCGACAGATCCTTCAGTGTAAAATTGGGGCAGTGCTCCTCCTCAGTGGCCCCTCTAACCTGTGGAGTCCCTCAGGGGTCAGTTCTAGGCCCTCTGCTGTTCTCCCTTTACATGCTTCCCCTGGGGTCAATATTTAGGAAGCACGACATCCACTTTCATTGCTTTGCTGATGATGTGCAGGTGTACCTGCCGCTAAGAGCCCCCTCCAAGGAATCCCTTCAGGCCGTGTTCAACTGTTTGAGGGATATTAAAACATGGATGGACCTGAACTTTTTAAAATTAAACGAAAACAAAACTGAGATTGTCCTATTTGGCAACCCTGACACCGTCCAGGTCCTTGCCAGCTCCCTCGGCCCCTTAGTACCCTATATAGGTTCCCAGGCCAGAAACCTAGGTGTCATTGTTGATGGGGCTCTTAAACTGGACAAGCAGATCAGCTCCGTTGTGAAGGCTAGTTTTCTTCAGCTTCGGCTACTGGCAAAAATCAAGCCTTATCTTAGGAGGCCAGATCTGGAAAAGGTTATCCATGCTTTTATCTCGTCTCGCCTTGACTACTGTAACTCGCTGTATTTTGGCATCAGCCAAACTGAAATTAACCGCCTACAGCTTGTGCAAAATGCTGCTGCTCGTCTCCTGACCGGAACCAAGAAACGGGAGCACATCTCACCGGTGCTCTCCTCACTTCACTGGCTCCCAGTCAAGGTCAGGATTGATTTTAAAATTCTTTTATTTGCTTTTAAGTCTTTGCACGGGCTGGCCCCAGAATATTTATCCGACCTTGTCAAGGCGCACCAACCCACCAGATCCCTGAGGTCTGCTGACCGGATGGTTTTAGATGTGCCGAGAACCCAGCTTAAAAGCAGAGGGGATCGGGCATTCGCAGTTGCTGCTCCCACTCTGTGGAATGCCCTGCCTCTGTCTGTGCGTTCTGCAACCAGCCTCACCTCCTTCAAAACGCACCTTAAGACCTACCTGTTTACCCTAGCCTTTGGCTGAGTTGTCACCTGCTTTTACTCGCGTACGCTTTTCTTTTATTGTTGTCATTGTATGTTGCACTTTTAATGTTGCCATATTTGTAGCTTTTATTATTTTATGCTTTTCTTTTTCTCCTGTAAAGCACTTTGTCTGGCTTGTCCTATAAAGGTGCTATATAAATAAACGTGACATTGACATTGACATTGACATTGCTCTTCATCCAAAACTTCATACCAAGCTGTACCAATTCCACACGACTGACTTGCTCTTGCCCTATTTAGCCACAAAATTATCACCTTCTTTTACAAACGCCATGTTTGTTTACACTGGTGTGTGTGCGGGAACTGGGAATGCTCCGAATGGAGGGTGAGCCTACGGTCGCCTGGAAACACAAGACATGATAGAGGGGAAAATCAATTTGACAATTTAAATTTTTTAACATCGTCATAATCAAACAATCCGGTTATGATTTAAAATCGATCAATTGTGCAGTCCTACACCATACTCCTTCTTGTTAAAAGGTGGAAAACTTAAAATATGTCTGAAGTGTACTCTGTACAACTGTATACAACATACATGTCTGAGATTATTTTCTCATATCTCTATTTGAGCCCTTATCCTGTCAGAGATTCATGATAAACACACATCTTGGTCGGTGTTAAAGGTGTATCAGTTAAATTTAGCCCCATAGAGTTTACATCAGAGTTATTAGCTAATTTATGCCATTTCACACACTTACACTTAGACACCTGTGTGTGTGTGTGTGTGTGCTGTCTGAGATTTAAGAGCTCATGAGCATCATTCATCATGTCACATACAGATTAACCTGCTTTAATTCAGAAGGTGAGCTGATACTGAAGTGAAGAGGGAAACTCTAAGGACCGTGAGGGGCACAGCGCTGCAAACAGAGTCAGAGCAGTGTCTTCATGCATATTCAGTCAGCTTCAACAGAGAGCTGTGTCTGTCTGTCAGGGGGTGTCAACAAAAACATTGCAAACCCTTGAGAATTAAACACTCATCTATGTTTCAGCATTAGATTTGTGCTACAGCAGGGTGCAGCTCAGTGTTTAAAGGGGACCTGCCATCAAAATTTCATACCCATTTTTATAATTTTTTCATAATCCTTGATGTCCTCTGATCATGTTTGCAACATAATTTTAGCTGAAAAGTTATTTGATGGTTTGTTTTTAGTATGCCTAAAAAACCATACTTGTGCTTCCTACCCATTTGGCTACTGTAATAACCGTTGTTCTCATTCATTAAACGCTTAAATCTGGGACATTTTCGGGGACAGCTTTTGCCGGGGACAGGTCATCCAATTCAGGGACTATATCCAGAAATCGGGGACATCTGGTCACCTTATGCTAAAGGCTAAAAATGGCAGGTAATAAACCATATATTTTAGACCCCGAGTCCGAAGAGGAGGTGGAAGTTGAAGAAGAAGCCAGAGAGCTCCAGCGGTGTTTTCATTCATTCTGCCCAGCTTTAAGTTCATTTTCCCGGCAGTGAACCCAAGGAAACACCGGTCATTTGGAAGAGACCCATAGCGGGTACAGTGGTAGCTGGGTCTTGCTCTGGCTGGAGAGTGATGTTGACTGTGAATGAGTACGAGAACGAGAGAGTGGGCGTGGCTCACTGAGGACGCGCTCGTGAATAATAATGAGCAAGGTCAGCGCGACGTCAGAGGGACCTGCTTTTTCAATTGGCCTGGTTTACCCGTTTCTTTATTTTAAACCTTTACAGATTGCAAACGACGTAACGGTTTGTTTTCACATTTACAACATAATATGGACCTTATCTGACACAAAAACACACAAAATTACATTTTTGATGGCAGGTCCCCTTTAAGTCCTGTGCAGATCCATTTGTTTCTAAGCAAAAGGTCTGGGTTTGATTCCAACCTGTAGATCCTGTCCTGCATGTCTCTCCTTGCTCTGTGCGTTCCCTCTGAATAAAGATACAACAGCCTGAAAACGAAACAGAAATATGTAGGTATCTGTCAGCTGCCCTCTTCATCTGTTTTTAGTAGGACAATTCTTGATATATTATTTTATTTTGGCACCAACATTTTGGATTCCTGATTGTGAAATGCTTTTCATCTTGTTTTATCTGCATCCATGCTCTGACCTCCCCTCAAAATGAGCTCTGACTGTGTGACGAGTCCAAGTGACAGGATGACGATAATCCTTGGGAGAAGTAAATATGGTATAGTAATAGAGTAAATATCATTAGAGCTTCACATAAGTGGCATTGCAGTAGGCGGATTCAGTGTGTTTAAATCCTTAAGTAGCAAACAATGGTAAGGCAACAGGTAGCCTAATTAGCATTAGCCTGTACATGTCTAATGTTTAATCAAACTTTCTGATAAAAGGCTAAGAGGTGAACTACAAAGTGAAATTGCAAGGGAAACTATAATACAGTGGTTCTCAAGTCCACCCCTCGAGGCCCACTGTTCTGCATGTTTTGGATGTTTCCCTGCTCCAACACACCTGATTCAAATGATCAGCTCGTTAGTAAGCCATTACAGAGCTTGATAAAAGGGCTGATGTTTCTGAAACTGCTATCTGAAACGACTGTACCTCATTAATAATGCCATTGAACAAATCCATGCAGTTAAATATATTATTCACCAAATCACAACAATGGAGCCTCTGCATTCAGTTAGTACACAAGGCATAATGTATATGATACTTTACACGTTTTAGATCATATGATACACCAGAAGTGTGATGTTGTCGCTGTAGTTAAAATGAAGAAAAAGGAATTAAATTAGTAGTGATCTGAATTTGTAATACATTTCTCAAGATTAATAATCTTAAATTATGACATTTATGCACTCGAAGGGGCACCACCCACCTTTGATGGCGGGAAAAATAAAGAAAAACTAAAGTTTAATTCAGAAATAAAACAAGTCAATCTTAAATTAATTAATCTCATATCTCAAGCTGAAATTCTCATTTCAGGGACTCCACTTCTGGAAGAACACTAACAGACAGGAGCTATAATAACTAACTAATAATGATCTGTTAACCACAGGATAAATGATGGTACAACATACATGCAATAAATGATGATAAGATAATGAGGATAAATAATAATAGATGAATAACAAAAGATTTTGAGTCAGGCTAGGAGCACTAAAGTTAACGATAGTCAGTGAATATGCTGTAACATATTAAACTACACTAATTTTGTGTGAGCATTTTGAGTTATGCAGCAGTTGGGGTTCCTGTGTTCCTCTCCTCTGTGTGTGTCTCCCTCTCTCTCTCTCTCTGCAGCGCTGGAGGCACGGCGGGAGGCGGGGCTGGCCCGGACCGATTGCACGCACCTGATTCTCGTTGGTGTCTGTTACCTGGCTTTATATGCCGGTTCCTCTGTCGACTCAGTGCCGGATGATTTCCCAGTCATGCAATACGTGTCTTGCCACGCCAAGCTCCCCGATCTCCGCCCATGTATCCAGCCTGCCTCTCAGTGTTTGTTTGTGAGCTCTTTTGTTACTTTCCAGAGATTTTTTCCCTTGAGCAAAGGTGATTTTGTGTTCGAGTTTTTTCCTCCAGTTGAGAAGATTTTTTTGGTTAAATTTTTCTGTTGCACTTCATCTTTTTCATCCTTAGTTGTTACTTGCCCCACGTGGCACTATCATTTTAACTTTGTTTTTTCAACAGCTATTTTGCCTTGCTGCAGGGACTATCTCCTAACCCTGGTTTTGTGTTTTTTAGTGGCAGTCCAAGTTTACTGTGCCTTTTCCCGAAAACGGCGATTTTCGGTTTGATCTACTTGAATCTATTGTTTATTGTCAATAAATTTGGGCATTTGCCTCTGCATTTTTAGATCCTGGCCTTTGTTCGATTCGTAACACTTTGGTGTCAAGATAAATTTGGATGTGGATTTGGATGAATCTAGGCTTACTAGAATAAGTGAATATCTGAGTTATGACTGCATGAGAGATGAGACAGCGTCAGCGCTGTTTGGAGCTCTGGAGGTTTGCGTACTTAAGTGAGACTGGTCCTTGGAGAAGATGGAGCAGGTAACGAAGGTCTGGGGCTACCGGCAGTTTGGCTCAGAAGACAACCAAAGTCAGCCAAAAGATGGGCCAGGGATCGCAGCACTCGGGCCTGAAGCAAAAACCAGCGCTTTATGGATTTTTTTGGATGCTCCTTGGGTCTCGCTCAAAACTCTGGCACAGAGGATGACCTGGGCCCGCTGGGTGGCGTTCAGAGGTGACTTTGAAATCACGCAGATGACTCAGAAAAAGAGGCCTGATGGCCAGTCGAAACTATTTCAAAAATGGCTTTGTGAAATGAAAGAAAAATCAATTAGAAGCTTAATCTTGAATTGCTATGCACACAAAAAGTTGAAGTTTCAAAACTTGAACTAAGACGATGTTAAAGAAAAATCAACGTGAATGAACATGTGGCGTAAAACTTAGAAGACTAAGAAAAAGTAAGACTAAGTTGTAAGAGTCAGAGCTAAAAGAAAACAAAGAAAAGGACAAAGAGAAGATCCAGGAAACAAGAGGAAGCTGTCATTATCAGTCATTTGTATTCTTTCTCCAAAGGAATGCAGTTTTTATCAGAACATGGTTGAGCAGAGTTTTATGACCAAGGTCACTGAAGGTCAATGTCCTGCTCCTCAGACCTTTCCTTGGGGTCCGTGTGTTCACACACTTCTAAAATCTAAAATGGAAAACCTGGGTTGAGGAATTAATGTTTACGTAGATGGTCAGCGATGGAGTCTGTTTGAAAGGCAATAAAAACTCTTGTTCTTTGAATTGACCAATCGTGAAGAGTCAGAGGTTTGGTCAACCTCCGGTCAGATCTGGAAAGATTTATGTTATCCTGTGTCCTGGGACCAGATAAGGAACCTTTCCTGCGAGGAATGTGTGAGTTTCACACACAGAGTTTTTTTGGTGCTACACCCTCATCCCTGTAAAACTCATTTAACATTCCTGAATATATGATGTCAAATATTACTTCCACACTCGCAAAACCCAAACCCACAAATCATGCACCATGTGTATTTTTTTTCATATCCACTGTAAACCGTGAGCTATACTGTAGTCTCTAAACTTTTTATAACTTAAAAACTGTCCTCACTGTCGTCTCCATGCACTTTGTCCTCATAAAACAAGTCAGAATATCAGATTCTCTGGCTAAACTCTATGCATACACAGTGAGTGTGCATACATGGACAGATCTGGAAGGTGGTTTGTGTGTGACGCTGCCTTACGTAGCGTGTGTGGGTGTGTTGTTGTGACAGCAGGATGGAGAGCTCGATTAAAATGTTACCCAGCTGCTGTATGAAGAACTTTAATCACAGGAACTTTGGTTTATTGGTACAACAATAGTGTGATTATGTGGATAAATGGTGAAAAGAGACGAAGGTATCTGTTGCTAATTTGTGATTGAATCCTTTGAAAGGAAATGTATTTAGCATGCTAATAATGTTACTCAGTTAACATCAGTGACAGCCTTGTAATATAATACCTTTTTTTTAAACAAGTACTTCTGTATATTTTATCTTATTGTGTACTTTTTTATTTGCAGCCATAGTGATAATACAGAAACATTATTTATGAGTTTGTAATAATTATGATATTCTTGATCCTCTCCTGAAGAGAATCAGATTAATCTCTGTAGAGTGTGGCTGTCATACAAGAGGACTCTTCAGGAAATGAAGGTGCAAAGTGAACAAAGTTAAAGTTTGTCACAGCTGATAATTCAGCTAAAACTTCACAGACACCCGCACTGTTATCTAAAGTACAGTTAGACAGTTTGGACAGTTTGCATTAAGTGTGCAGATGTTTTCAGCAGGTGCCTCCTCAGTAAGGTCACCTGGTTTAAGTCCCGTACTTGGTCAGACTGGTCCTCACAGTTCACACTCTGGATGATCGTGTACCTTTTGCATTTGCTGAACAAATAATGGAATTATTTATAGATAATGATGGAGATGAAGCATTGATTGGTGCATGCAACCCTTAAACTCTTAGCTTCAGGTGGATTTCATTTTTCATAACCCCTAGAGATGATCTGATGTGTTTTATTTTTATAACTGTACAGGGAAAAAGGGCCCCTGGTTGTCTCCTGTGATGCAGAGAGGTCAACTGATCAGATGAAATGTAGATATTTGCATTAAACTCTGAGTCACTGTGGATTTAGTGAATTCTCTTCATCACTTTAGGAGATACTCAACGCTCCCTCCTCCTCAAACACTGTCTTTACTAATGGGTACAGGGTGGAGGATTTTAACCTTCAATGTGGGACTTCAGGGCCTCTGTTGGTTTTAGATTACTATATGTTAAATGTGTCTTCACATGGCTAATTGTCCTCTTTGAAATTGTTAAAGACTGACTCATTGTGAAACATTAGTTATGAGCTCTTCACCACTTTCTCAAAGAGAGACAGTTTGAAGACAGTCATCAAGTTAACTTATTGGGATTGATTTTCGTGCCTCGGCAGCGGCGTGGCACGGGTGCAGCAGAAGTCAGGTCCACCACGCTGACAAGGCGTGCCCGAGCACATTTTGGTATTTAGGTGAGCGGCACAGCCCGGCTGTAACAAGCAAACCTGAATTCAGCTTATAGTGGACACAGTTGATCATATTTAAAGGGATATTGCGGTGTAAGTTTAAGTCATGGTCAGAGTTCTTGTATATCTTGTATGTGCACTGCAGACGTGGTAGTTCTGCCTTAACATCTCGGTCTGATTGCATTTCCAGGAAGCAATAATCATAAATGTTCTTCCTTGAGCTGCGAAACTCTGCTGTACTCATTGATCGACTCGTCAGGGCTCCCCCACAAACAAGCGGCTGCTGGAGAAGAGTGGGTGAGCTGTGTTTAGTCTCTTTGCTAAAGAAATCGGGCAAAGCTAAAAAGATGTTTGGTGGCTAGTACTATAGATTGGCTTTTTGGTTAAGGTGTGCACGTGGAGACGTAGACTGCTGTGTATTGCTATCGCACAGATGTTGTTGAAGGTTGTATAACTAGAGAAGCAAATGGTAGGCAACATTCATCTCTCGAGGGGGTGTCTAACTTGGTGTTATGGTGTGTTTGACCATGACTTAATTTTACACCAGAATATCCCTTTAACGCAAGAAGGATCAAATGAGTGACCTGGAATCACTGTAAAAGCAAAACAGAAAACTATCAGATAAACAGACTGCAGCTTTGATTATGTATCTACAGCTCTGTAGATGTGGTACATTCAAGGTGATAATGGCACCATAATAAGAAAAAGTCATTTTCACAGCATTACTGCAGCGGTGTGAGTGTTTGTTTCTGCTGATCATCACAGTGTGTCTGAATGGTTTGCAGAGAGATGTCTGTGACCTCCTGATACTCTGTGTGATGGATGAGCTGACTAGGACAGAGGTTAGGAACTGAGACATTTTCACCCTCTCATTACCCCCAAAACAAAAACATATTTATTCTCTCAGTGAAGGTAAGGTAGGAGATTCCACAACACCTTTAACTCCATATATAAAAAGCATACATTTGACCACACTCCATGGAACCAGTTTAGAATAACTTTAACCTAGTATTTCTCCTGTAATAATATGATAATAACTTATGGCATTAAAGAGGTGTTTTTCTTTCTTCATACTCTAAAAATAAATTTAAAGTTAAAATGTTGGATGTCAGTACTATACATGAGCAAACTTTCCGATTGTCATGGTGTGCAAGGGCTTTGAATGGCTTATTCTAAAAGTATACAGAACCACAGAGAAGACCCACACAAGGAGAACATGCAGACAGAAAGGCACAAATACTTCCTTTTGGGTAGGGATGAAGATCTATAGGCTGACTCTGAGTTCACTTTTTCTGCAAAAAATATTCAAAATACAGATGTAAAAAGTATGCGACAAAAAAAGAAAACATTGGCATGTACTGAGTCCTTCTCAAATGATGGAGGAAATAAACTGGAGCTTAATGTTAAACTAGTGCAGTCTGAGTCCTTTCATTTCTTTGAGTGAAAAGATCCAATTTTAGCAAACTTGGACAATAATAATAATGATTAAAAAGATCATTTTCCTCTTTGGCTCCAAACAAATAAAGCAAACAATTATCAGGCCTGGGCATTAAACCAAAGATATCAAGTGGTAATCACCTCTTGATACTTGGCAGCCAAGTTTTTTCTGTTAACCCCACCCCCTCTCCATTACACACACACTGACACAGTGAGAAAACTGATTGGATTACAGAGTTAAAAGTGAAAGTTCAGTAACAGTTTGAACCCAGTCTAGAGTTTGACTGATTGATGAATTCAACCAATGACAAGGTGGACTGGATTGGCTGCAAGTACAGTGAAAATAGTGCAGGTTTTAGAGACAGATGTACTGCATTTTGGACATAATAATAATATAATAACAATAACGTTCATTCATATAGCACCTTACAACATCCGTAAAGATGAACAAAGTGCTTTCCACAGTCAAATACACAAATACAGGAAAAAAATACATGGCAAGTGACAAATGTCACAGGATATCATAACAATAAAAAGGTTGGAAAACACAGAAACAATCAAATAGAAAATGGCAAATGACACTAGAAATTAAAAGCCTGTTTAAATCGGTGAGTTTTAAGATGTGTTTCAAAAGATAACAGGTCATTATTGATAATAAGTAGTTCAGGGGGTAGAGAGTTCAATAGTTTCGTGGCTGCTATTAAAAAGGCACGATCCCCCCACCATTTAAAATTTGAGAGAGGAATCTCTAACAGGGGTTGTTCTGAGGACCGGAGGGCTCTACAGTGTCGTCTAAGTTTAAGGCAGCCAGACTGATATACTGGAGCAAGACCATTATTAGCTTTGAAAACAAACATTAAAAGTTTAAAAATGATCCTGAATTTAATTGGGAGCCAATGCAGGGAGAGAAGAACAGGAGGGATGTGACTGTGACGGGGGGTGTTGGTTAAAAGGCGTGCTGCAGCATTTTGTACCAGTTGGAGGCGAGAGAGAGAAGATTGATTGATACCAATGTATAAGGAATTACAATAATCTAACCTGGCACTGATAAAAGCATGGATGGCCAATTTAAGATCCTTCCTGCTGAGGAGGCGCAATTGAAAAAAGCTCAACTTGACCACAGAGTCAATCTGCTGATCAGAGCTTAGACCAGGGTCCAAAATAACTCCCAGGTTCCTAACAACAGGCTTCAAAATAGGAGCAAAGGAAGACAAATCCAAGCATCTAATTACATCACCACGAGCATCAGGGGAACCAAAAACAATACATTCCGTTTTGGACTGGTTTAAGCGCGGAAAATTTTGTGACAACTACCGGTCTATGTCCTCTAAGCACTTAAAGAAAGAATGTAGTGCAGCTGGAGTATTTGGAAAAATTGGTAGATAAATCTGGATGTCATCAGCATAACAATAAAAGTGAAGGTTATGTCTGGAGATGATCTTTCCAAGAGGCAGCAGGTAGAGGGAGAAGAGAATAGGGCCAAGAATGGAACCCTGTGGGACCCCACATGAGAGGGAGGCAAAGGAGGATGAGAGGTTCCCGATCATCACGGAGAAGGACCTGTTTCTGAGGTATGAGGAGAACCATTTAAGAACTGGATCCTGAATGCCCACATGGTTGGACAGATGGGAGATGAGAATGGAATGATAAAGTTTAAGAGGACTAGTATCATTTTTATTGTCAGCTAAAAGATTGAAATTTTTCAAAGATGGCATTATTTTCCAGAAAAGATTGTAACTGAATAAAGACAAATTTCTCTAAGGTTTTAGATAGAAAGGCCTAAAATTGGATAAGACTGAGGGATCCAGGTGAGGTTTCCTGAGAAGAGGTTCAACCACAGCATGTTTAAATGCATCAGGGAAGGTACCAGAGCTAAGGCAGATGTTGATGAAGACAAGGAGGTAAGGTCCGACAGAATGAAGAATTTTGAATGAAGAATGACAGAATTTTAGTACCTTAGCAGGAACAATGTCAGGGAGACAGTTGGTTGCTTTCAGCTTTTGCACAACCTCAGAGAGGAGGGGGAGAGAAACAGGATCAAAATGATTTAAAACAACAGTTGGGTGTGCAGAGGCAGAACTCAGCCCAATATCTGCAGTTTGAACGTTGGTGTTTGCAATGATTTTTTTCCCTAACAGAAACAATTTTGTCAACAAAGAATTTTAAAGATTCTTCACAAGCAGTTGTTGAGGCATCTGTGGGACAACTATTGGTAGGATTGATAACAGAGTTTATGGTCTTGAATTATACCCTCGGACGATTACTACTTGTAGAGATGAGTCTGGACAGATGATTTAGCGTCTCTCACAGCTCTTTGAAAACTGACTAACTTGTCTCTCCAGATACCCAGCAAAACTGGGGATTTGTGCTTCTTCCTTTTACATTCAGCCCGTCTACTGTCTTGCCTGAGAGCACGAGTGTAATCACTCAGCCACGAATCAGCCTTGGACTTGGAAGATTTTACCTTTACAGGAGCTACAGAGTCAAGAATTTAAGTACAGGCATAGTCATAAGGAGGACGTCTAAATGAATGAGTTGATAGTTCTGCTCATGCCTTATGACATGTTCACACATAAGAACAATTATTTTTGTCCTGACATATCAGGAAAAAATGTATGCATCATCACTGCACTCAGGTGACTCTATGTGCATGTCTGGTTAAACTGAATACCATAGTCAGATGTACATTTACGGTTACAGTTTTCCAGGCTAACAGATAATTAGTCAGCCAATCAGAGAGCAGATCATATAATGAGGTCATAAGAAAGTTGACCTTTGAAATGTCACCTTCAGGAGTGTCTGAAGAGGTGTGTATGTATCTAAGGGACAGACAGAGGGAGAAACAGAGGCATAAAGAGAGAGGGAGAATATTTTCCTCCCCTCCCTGGTCTATTAAAGGTCATTGTCACCGTGACTGTCTTAAAGTTCAGTCAGCTATGGTCCTCTGCAGTCATTACTTAAGACGGTGTGGACAGGAAGGTCTGCAGCAAATTAAATGAATTAACTGTCTTCAAACATGACGCAGCATCAAAGTGGTAGCATGGAGGGTATTTCAGCATTAAGTTTCAATGTTCTGCTAAAGATATGGATGGAAAAAAAAAACAACTGCAGCTCATCTACTGTGAAAAAGACATGATGCTCCTTCATTCATACACTTCTCCAGGGGAGGATGTCTCCTCTGTTTTTCCGTTAAAACTAACTCACAGTGTTTGAAAAGTGCAGGTTCCTGCTGCTGCGCTGAAGGTCTCAAGTATAGGTGTCAACAGGTACATGCTAGAGGATCTGAGCTTTGAAGAGTAATACACACTGCTGCCCTTCATTAGGTTAAACTGTATGAAATCCTCCCGATGAAACAAACTGTAATGTCTGAAGTATTAACCTGCCAGTCAAATGTCTGGTTCAAGTAAGACATGTTCATCCAAAATAAGTCTAAAATCTTCTTTAAAGCCCACTGACAGACGAAAGGTCCTTACACACTGGGAACAATGCAGATATATGACGCGAAATTACAAAATAATTGGAGGCGAATTTTGATGTGCCTGACTATACACATCAAGCCCAATGCGATTTTGCGACTTTCCGGGGGGAAAAAGATATGTCCCGGGTGGAAGTGAGAAGACTGACACAACAGCAGGCTGACTGTTTTTCAGTTCTGATTAGACACTAGTGTTGAGATGGCTGTCTGTCATGATAGCATGTACTGAGTCGGGGCCAGTACCAGATAAGCACATTAAACTGTAATCCATAAATGTAAGGTAACAACCGAGACCTAATGGTGCTGTGACAGCAATGTGATTGAGTTTGAGACAGTGAAAATACATATGGTATGTTGTATCTGAACAGGTTAGCTTATGAGCTAAAGTTACTTAGCACAGATGAAAGTTAAAACAAAGACGTTTAGCAAACTGTTAAAGCACACAAACCTTTGTTATATGAGAAATCCAACGCTATGACTCTCCACAAATTGTCCTTCAGGTTGTTATCTTTGTAATATTTGTGTCTTTTAACAAAAAGCACTCTGTTCTCCGACTCGTAAACAATAAGCTGGTAAGCCATGTTGGATATACCGGACGTCGCAACAACACGCAATCTGATTGGTCAGAAGTGGACACACAGTATGTGAAACTTTAGAAAAATCAACTGCGATATGAAAAAATAAATGCCGAAATATCGCAGGACAGGAAAACATCACTGATGTGAATGCTTGTATTGACAGGATACAGGTTGAAAAAGAATATTGACGTCCGAAATAATCGCAAGAAAAAAATGGTCCCGGTATGTAAGGACCTTTACACTAATATATCTAATGTCTGAAAAATCACAGGCTCAATCCATGCCATCCTTCTTCAGCTAAATGACTGGTGTCACTCCGTCACTTTGGAACCAATGACCGAATGTCATCTGCATAACAATGGATTTTTGTGGCATTGTTCCTCGTGATATAAAACATAAAGGTAAAATTATCCAGGGAAAAACTGTGTCCTGTTGCAGAGGCTTTGTGTGAGTTATGTCTTAAGTAAGGGTGTGTTCAGTCCGCTCTAGACTACAGTATGTACCAGAACTGCAGCGGCTGCAACCAGTGTTGTTAACAGGTGCTGTGCAGTAGAGCGCACCCCTGCCGTAGAATGCATCCCCTGACGAGAGCGCAGTTCAAAGTACATAGCAAGGCGAAATAATCCAAGTTTTCATTACTATTGGGTGGATTCAAAAGCGTGTGCCTTTAATGATTTCATTCAGGCTATTGAGATAAGCCAAAAACAATAGCCCTCTGATTTGGAATATTTGTTGTTGCGAAAATATAATGTTCTCTACCTTGACAGCTTACTGTACAGTTAATACACCCGAGTACACCTCTATGTGTGCATTTTTGAGACACATAAAAACAACGAAAGTTTGCTGCTCCATTTGATATGTAGTCATGATCCAATACTCATGTTTTTGATTTAAATATGACATGATTTTCTTGCACTTTAAGAATCTAACAGACCTGTAACACACCTCGGGGGCCCCCCATGGCTTCATATTAGTTTTATTTTTGCTTTAAATGCTGCTGACAGGAAATTTAGGACCATGAGATAGTTTTGATATCTTGCATTGGTTATGCAAATAAAGTTATTCCACAGAGTTGGAGACCTTAAATTAGCTGCAGTGATGATGATGGATCTGGATGAAGAGCTGCATCTCATACCAAAGACCCTTCTCATGTGAGTAATGCATTATTTCTGTTTGAATTCTTATGACACACGTAAATATAAAGTTAGGTGACGTTTACATATATATACCTAATATTATGTCTGTACGTACAGTACAAGGCCATGCATACATTTGTGGTGTTAGCACACAGATGAGTACTCACATGGGTGTACACTTGAATGCATTTGAACGTGTCAGAGTGTTTGTGTGATGACTAATGGCTAAATGAGGAGCGTGCTGTATAAACAGATGAGGACTGCACTCCACTTAGAGCCTGTGGCAGGAGGCCCACACACCTACACACATCCACCAACATCATCACAAACCTGCACGACACACCGACCAGAGACACAAGGTAAAGCAGAGACCCAGAGGGCTTAAAATGGATTGCCGGAGCTCCAATTTGAAAACAAACAGATTCTGATTTCATGAATATTTGTTACAATGTCCAAATTCCTATGTAAGCGGGGTTATACTACACGGTACTACACTGAAGCATAAAGCTGTGTGTGTGTTTTCGTGTGTGTTCATGCTCCACAGAGTACTGTGAGGAGAAAATAATCCTATTTGTGTTTGATGCTGATTACAACAGCATGAACACCAACAGCTCAAATGGTACCATTTAGACCCTTTGAATGAAGCTAATGGAAGTACCATGCACACACACACACACACACACACACACACACACACACACACACACACACACACACACACACACACAATATTAAATGTGCCTGCACCTGCTGTAGCATAGTGTTAACCCCCTGTGGGTTTTCTCATCAGTGTGTGTGTGTGTGTGTGTGTGTGTGTGTGTGTGTGTGTGTGTGTGTGTGTGTGTGTGTGTGTGTGTGTGAGAGAGAGAGAGAGAGAGAGAGAAAGTGAGAGTGAGCGGGATTGTGGGTTTATTGAGGTCTGATGGCACTGACCCATCATTACTGTCCTCTACCTAATCAGCCATGTTTATGTGTCTGTGAATCTGTCCCCCCATGTTAAAGTCTCTCGTTTTGTGTGTGTGTGTGTGTGTGTGTGTGTGTGTGTGTGTGTGTGTGTGTGTGTGTGTGTGTGTGTTGAAACTGAGATGTATGGTTTTCATTAACTCTGCTGTCATTCATTAACACACCTGCTTTCCTTTCTCTGGGTTGGATATTAAAATCCTGTGTGTGACCTGAGCTGATTAAAGATTTTGTACTCTTTATGAGAAGAAGACACTGTCAAACACCACCTACACCTTCACACCTTTACACCTGTACACCTGAGCTAGCTGATTCAAACTCGGCATTAGCTTTCGCTGATGTAGAGTGAAGACAGGGTTGGAGGTCAGGGGTGATGGATGTGTCAAATAATGCAGAATTTCCTCCCAAGAGGTTTGGGTTCAACTCCTGTGAGACACCACAGTTACATGTTAAGAGAAGGGTTTACAGGAGGCCTGTCTGAATAACATGTTACTGTATAATCCAAAATAGATTGTGAATACTGGCTGTGTTACATAGAGCAGAATATTCTGACTATAAATGACTTTCAAGCCCAAAGATATAAAAATAAAAGCACTTTAGTGAAATTTCACAGAGATGAAGAGGTGGAGTTTAAACCATTTCATAACCCTGTTAAAATAAAAATTGTACTTTGTTGTCAACAGTGTTTCTAAATGTCTCCTGGCTGTATTTACTCTGTGTATGCACAACATCTAGAAATGAACACCTCATTTCCACAGTCCTACAAGCACAGAGCCTGGGCGACAAGATTCCATTCATTCCTCTGAGTCCACCTCCAAGATTTTCACTCTAGGGGCCTGATCTACTAAGATCCCAAATAGCGAGCGCTAAATTACATGTGCAAACTAAAAAATTGCATGTGCTATTAGAGGGCGTGTTGCGGCTGATCTACTATCATTGCGTGCGCAACTGATGACTGGTGTAAAAGTGGTGCGGACCGCCCACTCTAAAGGAGGATTTTGCGTGCGCTATCGGCCATCACCATGGAGAGTTTATGAGAACAGAGTGTTTGAAGCCATGGAGTTGCACATAACCTATTGGGGAACTGCATACAAGGCAAGGCAAGTTTATTTGTATAGCACAGTGGTTCTCAAGTCCAGTCCTCGAGGCCCACTGTCCTGCATGTTTTGGATGTTTCCCTGCTCCAACACACCTGATTCAAATGATCAGCTCGTTATCAAGCCATTACAGAGCTTGATAACGAGCTGATTATTTGAATCAGGTGTGTTGGAGTTGATTGGAGTTGACAGAAGGACCTGGGATCAAACCCCTACCTTCTAATCGAAGACAATCAACTCTACCACTGAGCCACAGTTGCCCCCTTACATTCAGATTTTTTTGTTCGGTAAGTTTTCTTGTGGTGTCTGGTGTTAGACACCAATGGTGTCAGCAATTACAGATTTATAGACAGCATGCACTTACAGAGGTAAAAACAATGCATTAGTCTTAAAGCGATGGTCTACCATTTGGAAGCTTGGTACTTATGAATAACACCGTTTATAAGGTCGTTATGGGCCTATGGTCCGATCTACACAATATAAAGATCAAAAGAAGGTCCATCCAATCCCCAGTCTCCCCTGCTCCACACCATCCCGCCCATGGTCCCGCCTCCTCCCCACTACCCCCCTCACGTACATGTGATTAGCGAGCTGCACAGCTGCTGAAGCGTAATGGAGCCGGAGAAGACAAACACCGAAACCAGGAGGCCGCTTCTGTTACCCTCCACATCGAAGGGAAGGAAACGTAAAGAGGAAAAAGGCTGAAGTAAGGAAGAAATATGAGCGATACAGGTGCCAACGGAGAGTCTACATTGGAGAAATGTACGACTGGTGGAAAAAGCTGCAGAGGGATTTGGGACAGAAAACTGATGCTGAGACAGCCGAATTTCTGTTGAACAGATAATTACTTTGTTTACTACAGTGTGAGATGTCTGCTGAATAACTCTGGTTAGTCTGTGCCTATGACTGGCTAATGACTGAAAGTTGTTGGTCGGAACGGGTAGGCTCTGTCAATAGATTTTAGCATAAGTTAGCCACGCATCTTTATCATTGTAAACTGAGCTGGTGAAGACACGCCGAGAAAGGTAAAGCCTCGCCCACAATCGTCTCTGCTCTGACCGGCTAGCAGTGGCGACGCCAGACCCGCTTCACCCTGCTAATATATGGTTTTGGTCGCACCGGTCCAATTAAAATGGCAACCACTGTGTACCACTGCTGATATTTTCTGCTGGCCTGCCTCTTGCTCTATCAGAGGGGGCGTGTTGTTAGGAGGCGACACAAGCTGGTGGGCGGGATTTTGGAATACAGAGGGGAGGGGTGAGTGAAGGGGGGGCAGGCTGCGTTTTTCAAATCTGTCTCAAAAGCCAAACTGGTTTTCAGATCGTAGACCACAGCTTTAAGAGTTTTAGCAGAAGTGGAAATGCTACAGACTGCAGTTTCTTTACTGTCCACTAGAGGCTGTCTGCAAAAGCCCCTGAAACTCTGGGTTCATTCTAAAAACCTTACCTTTACAGCTTTACAGGCGTGTTCAGGTGTGTTAAGATGCGTCCTCTCTTGTTTTACAAGCCATAAATCTTCTCCTGTCACTTTTTTTGAAAGAGTAAAGAGTGCTGGTAACATCCAGAACTTCTTCCTCTTCCATTATTTGATGGGTTGTGTCATCAGGAGTGATCCACCTCCACACACAGCTCACATTCTGCTAGACAGAAAGTCTCATGTTCTGAATTGGATCCATTTAAGAGAAAAGCTCTGGGCTGTGTAGTGGAAGCACGGACGTCTACAGAGGGCCAGATGACACACTGAGGTGTGCTGGTATAAAGGTTAAGAAAGGAGCCTAATGGACTAGAGCAGGGGTCGGCAACCCGCGGCTCTGGAGCCGCATGCGGCTCTTTCTTCCCTAAGCTGCGGCTCCCAGTGGATTTGGAAAATAAATAATAAATACTTAATTGCATTTTATTTTATTTTATTATTATTATTATTATTTGTAATTCTAAATTCAAAGATTATAATGCTCTTGTAACATTAAATAAACTATTAAGGCTGCAACAACAAATCGATTAAGTAGATTCGTCGTGACGAAAAAATCCGTTGCCAACAAATTCTGTAATCGATTCGTCGGGTCTTTATATATGTCCATGGACACCGGCGTGTAAACATCAGCAGGACGCACAGAAAAGAAACAGCCATGGCCGAGGCAGCGGCTGAGAAAAACATGGACACAACCCAACCCAAATCCCGACCTAAAACATCAGTGGTGTGGGAAAACTTCACCAAGACTGAAAAGGAAGGCGTTAAGTGCAACATTTGCAAAGACCGTTTTGCATGGCTCGGGAGTACATCGATGATGCGTGAGCACAGGGCTCTCAAGTCTCACGCATTCAGCGTATGACACACGCATTCCCACTCGTTCACACGCTCACACACCACACATTGTATTTCTCACGCATTTAAATGAACACGGTGATGTCCACCAAGTTGCATTTCTTCAACTTTGGAACTGGGGGAAATCAACCGAGTTCCTCCGAGAGTTCAGAAGCTGCGGGCCACGCACAAGCCAATCAAATAAAGTATATCTACTGAACAGCCAATCAAAAAGCAGCATTGCTGTATCTGGGTAGATTTTGATATCTTGCGGTTTAACTACAGAAGAAGACAGACACTCGCCGAAATAGTTCATTTATTTCATAAATGCAACTCACTACAGTTTTTTATATACTTTGTATAAAGGTTAAAAAAAAAAGATATATGCAATGTTATCTTCATTTTAGATGACAAAGAGGTTTTGTGGCTCCCTGTGTTTTCTTTTCTGTGGGAAACTGGTCCAAGTGGCTCTTTGAGTGTTTAAGGTTGCCGACCCCTGGACTAGAGTATCTTGGTTTTAATCACATTTTTTTTGTGTGTGTGTGTGTAAACATAGTCTGACTTCAGAACCGGAGATAACTCCTTATTCTGAGTCCACTTTTGCTGCGTCGAGTACTTTGAAAGTTTAAGTGGTATTGAGGCATGTGCTGTATGCTCCTTCACAGGTGTGGTCTAACAGATGATGAAGGTGAGAAGAGAAGTCTGTTTTTAAAGCTCTGGCCCTGACTGCACAGACATCCCAATCCTATATTCCAGTGCACACATGATCAATAGCTCCACATGCTGTGAACAACACAGAGATCTGAACAACCAGCAGTTATTAGTGTTTATAAAAGCGCTGCAGATGAGACGTAACATTACTCTGTGTGTTAATGATGTTGATCTGTGTTTCCTCACTGTACTCAGAGGCTCCAGTCCTTTAAAGTGTAAACCACAGATCAGTAACACTGAGAAAAGCAGCCTCCATGTTAACACAGAAGTGATTACATCGAGAGAAAGAGAGAGAGAGAAGGGGGGTGGGGGGGCTGTCAGCTAAAAAGTAAATCACCATCATCCCCTGATGAAGGTAAACAGAGCGCCATGTGTATTTGCACCAGTAAAGTGCGATCTGATCTAAAATTTAAGACTTGTCACTTGTGTTCTGATCCCCTTAAACCACATCGATGCAGGTATGAAAAACCTCATAATGGACCTTTTTGATGTGTCTCCCAAAAGACAGGACAGTTTTTTATGTGTTTTCACAGTCAGCATCTCATCCCTCCTGTCCTACCTTTTATTCTGAGATTTTGCTGATCACTTTTTAAGCTCACCTAAATGAGCCTAAATTTTATATCATGTTGACTCTGAGCCATCATGCAGCCTTAAATCCTCAGGTGGTGCCCTCCTTAGGCTTCTTTAATTGACATCGAACAAATGTGGACAACAAGATCCAACAATTCCAGCAGACATCTGGGGCCTCATGTATCAACGCTTGCGGCGCAAGAAAACCTTGCGTACGCCAAAATCGGCGCACACGTCCAGATTTATCATCGCGAAACGAGCGTCGGTTCCAGCGCTAATCAACGCAAAGTCAGGAGGTGGTGTAGAAATTGGCGTTGAGCTGGATATTTGCGTTGACTGTGATTCGCACTTTGGCGACGCTGTGTGGCGGTGTTTGGTGACTCACTATGTGACCAGCGTGCACCACATCCCCGTGGCCGGGCAGCACGTCGCCCCACATGACGAACCAGCAGCAGACGGAGGGATGCGAGCTGATCCCTGCCGGGCCGCCGTCCTCGCGCGGGAGAATCTCATCGCCACAGTGTGAATGGGTAAGAAGTGAATACACAGTTCAATGAGCCAAATTAATTTATTTTCTCCACCAGACGCTCGAGGAAATTTACGAGCCGGTCCAGCCGCTCGTTGATCCCCGCGATCCCCCTGATGATTTCTTCCTGCGATTGCAGGACCCCCTCCGCGAGGACCCTTCCACTGCGTCCGGGTGGTCCAGCGGAAGCGCCGCGGCTGGTGGACGCTCCACCGCTTGTCGGCGCGCTGGTGCTGATGCTGGTGCTGGGGCCGGGGGCCGGGGTGGCCCGAATGCCGCTGGTCCTGGCCGACGACTCCGAGCCGGCGGACGGGCTGCCGCGGGCCAGGGTTCCGCAAGCTGGCGACACGGCCGACACATTAATTTCTGTGACACAATAAAAATATTAGTTCATTTCAATTCCTGCTTCTGTGTATCTGTTGCGTTTACATCTCTCTCCACGGTATCATAGGTAATGTAATCCAGTATTTCGAGGTCAGTTATGCACATAACAGTTGTTTATTGCATAAAAAGTTATCGGAAAATGAAGTTAAGGGCGAAGTATAAATCACGTCTAAAAATAGACTGAATCCCGACGTTGAAATGAAGTATAAACTTAGACTAGACGTCTAATATACGTCTTTTGCTCAGTGGGATGACAAAGTATGTGGACATTTGTGTGACACGCCACTTACCCTATAATAATAATCGCCACCACCCGCTGCTCAAACGGTGTGAGGGTCTCCTCCCCGGACCCCCACCTGTCTGGCCGGTACTCCTCCGGAGGGCAGCTGTACGCCGCTTGACCTCCACCTTGAGGTCCGACCACTGTTTTTTAATCTCCGCGGGGGTGCGTGTCTCGGAACCCACCGCATTCACCCTCTCGCAAACTTTCTCCCACTCCAAGCGTTTTTGTTTTGCACTGACGCCACTGGACAGGCTGCCAAACAAAACACGCTGTCGCTCCTCCACCTCCGCCACCAGCACCTCCACCTCGCACGCCGTAAATGTAGTTTTTCTTGTCATTTTGTCTGCGTGCGAGGACAGGGAGACCCTATTTAAATAAATCTGCATATTTATAGGAGGGCGTAACGAGGACGGGCCCAGTCACTCCGACATCTGCGCTCAATTCCACGCTGATTGGGATTTACCAAGGAAACACACGTGGATTTCGGCGCCCGCACACATTGATACATACAGATTTTTTTCAGCGTGACGGACCTTGCGTGCGCTCGTTTCTGGTATGAGTTCCACGCAAGTGTTGATACATGAGGCCCCTGGAGGAGTTTCCATGGTTGCTGTGCTGGTGCGAAGGCAAAGTCAAGGCTAGGAAATGGAGATGTAAGCCCTGTTAAAGCCTGATATGTAAGGACCTGCAATGTAATAAAAATATTGTAAAAAATGTAATAAAACCTAAAATGTAATAACTGACCCAATGCTTTGCAAGATGCTCAGCCCAAAAGGCAATAACTTTTGTCCAAAACATTTTTATTTATGAGGGAAGGATGGAGCGGGAGATCGACAGGTGGATCGGAGTGGCGTCAGCAGTGATGCTGATACTGATCAGTCGTGGTGAAGAAAGAGCTGAGCTGTAAGGCGAAACTCTCGATTTACAGGTCGATCTACGTGCTGATCCTCATCAATGGCGGTGAACTTTGGGTAATGACCAAAAGAACAAGATCCTGGATACAAGCGGCCAAAATGGGTTTCCTTCGCAGGGTGGTCAGGCTCAGCCTTAGAGATAGGGTAAGAAGCTCGGACACTCAGGAGGTGCTCAGAGTAGAACCGCTGCTCCTCCACGCCGAGAGGAGTCAGCTGGGGTGGCTCAGGCATCTGGTTAGGAAGCCTTCTGGACGCCTCCCGTTAGAGGTGTCCTCTTGGCCGGCCCAGGACCAGGTGGAGGGATTATATTTCTCGCCTGGCCTGGGAGCGCCTGGGAATCCCCACGGAGGAGCTGGTGGAAGTGGCTGGGGTGAGGGCCGTCTGGGCTTCCCTCCTGAAGCTGCTGCTGCTGGACCCAGATGAAGCGGAAGAAAACAACGACAATGATTTTTATTTATTTGTGTTGTCATCCGTAGTTTGTGGACTGGGTTTGGTCTGGTTTCTCTGACACTCAGGGAAATTGTTGTAATAACAGCAGATCCACTTCCATCTACCAGTGAAGATAAGGAGCTGGCTGGTGTGTCTTTAAACACCAGACTTCCTAAATCCAGCTTCAAGTGCATGCTTGAGAAAGTGCAGATTTTTACTGATCCTCTTGGATCCCCATCAAACCATTTAGAACTCCCGAGTCACAAAATAAAACACGTTAAGAAACCAAGCAGCAGCAGCTCAGTTCCACCTCAACCCTCTGAGGTATAATCTCTGTTTTATTCTCAGTGTAGTCTGCTGTGTTTGTAGAAAGTGATGTATCAGCTGTTACTGTCTCTTTCACTAACATAAAGCACTCTCTGTTTTTAGGGACTTTTATGTAACGCTGTCAAACTCTGAGCCTGTCAGGGATAAAAACAATAACCTTTACTGACACACTTTGATACTTCATAGCTTACCCACTTTACATGATGCAGGATGGGGGGACTCTCCTGTTGGTACCTTTTTGTCATTTGGACCCTAATATATGTTGGATAAAAGTTGCAAACATCAAACCTTTGATAAAAACAGGATTTACCAAAGGACGGCTGGTATAAAGAGCATCACTTTTACCTGACGAACTTGAAACCCATCCTCTCTGCTGCATCTGTGGCTAATGATGAGAAGACAAAGTTGATGGTTTTAACAGGGTGAGACAATGAGTGTTCCCCTTCATGCATTAGCCCCATGATGGTGGTAAACAAAGCCTCTCTGTTGGCAGTCTAGGGGTCTAATAAAGCTCTGTGCATTATCCATATGAGTGTTACTACACTTTCAGCATTTCTACATGAGCTTCTCCAAAGCAGACTCTAAACAGGCCCTATGACCTCTCCTGTGCACATATGTATGCACTCTCTATAACATCTGGGTACGCTCCTGATGAGATGATGAGTATTGGTATCCCATCCTGATGGGATGATGGGATGGAATCAGGGCATCAGTCTGTGGCATGACGTGCATGGCGGTGGTGGATGCAGTCATACATGATGTCCTGGTGGTGCTTGATGGGATTCAAGTCTAGGTAATGGGCAGACCAGCCAATAACAACAATGCCTTCATCATCCAGGAAGTGCTGATACATTGCTCCAGCCACATGAGGCTGGTCCTGCTCCAGATAGATCTCAGGACCCGCTGCATCAGCATCTGGTCTGACGATGACTAAGAGGATCTCATCCCTGCATGGTTATTTAAAATGATTAAAAAAAGATATAATGGGCTCTGCATGTCTTTTCTCCTCAGGCAGGTTCTTTCAAAGACAAAGGGCCCCAATGGAAAAGCAGAGTCTTCTTTATTTGAATGAATGATGAGTCGTTAGTGTCATACAAGTTAAAGGATTTGAGCTCTTTTACCACTTACATTTTATCACAGGCTGCAGATTGAACAAATCATTCAGTCTATTCAAGCTTTTATATGACATCCTTTAAAATGTGGAGACTTGAGCTTGATTCAGAATGATGTGTCTCACTTTTTAGTTTGTCAGATGTGAGCGCTCATTGGTGCTTCGGCCGCTCCCTCATCAAGCACATTCTGTTTCTATATTTTACATGGCATTAGTGGTTTTTAGATATAGTTGTTGTGGCTGAATGCTAATAAATGCTGTTCTCTGATGAGAGCTAAAAGGTTGTAAAACATGATTTTGAACTCAAATTATGACCCCAATCTTTGCAGCTGCTTATTACCGGAGGGTCACAATTTACAATCTGACACTGAGCATAAATATATGATAACATTTAGCTACCCTCTCTGACTGTGACTGAATAAAATAACTGACATGGGATAGAGTCTGTCCAGTCTATGTCTATATGTGTTTGAAGGCTCTGGGGATACGTGTTCTGAATATGTGATTAGATTGTCGAGAATTGACTGAATTAGCTTGTAACAGGACAGCATATTGGTGTGTGTTTATATTTATATGTGCATACATATATAGGTTTAACCAGGGGGGACAAGCATACAACGTCAACCCTGTTACCACTTTTGAACATATAAACCTAAACAATTTTGTATTTCTCAAAATATAATCAATATCTACAAGTAATTAACTTTCAAAGTACCTAGCTTGCACTTTAGCTAGCACTTATTTAAGCTAGCTACAAGGAAGATTAGCTTAAAATGGTCAACCCTGTTACTGTCAACCCTGTTACCTTTCCACAGTAACAGGATTTGACATGTGAGTAACAGGGATGACATAGAATAGTGTTTACCCTCGTTTTACTCTCTTTAAAGGTTCACCTTTTAAAATTAAAACATTTTAGGTCACCAAGTGAACATTATTGAGCTAATAATATATGTATTTTTTTGATTGATACGCCGGTGGAGAGCCACTTACTTTTTGTCCAGTTACTGTTACTCTTGTCAGCCCTGTTACCATAACGTCAATCCTGTTGTCATTTGTTTGATAAAAATTTTAAAAATGACAACTCAAACCGGCTTTCAACACTCACCATTATAATTTAAATAACATAATATTTTAGATTGGGCCATTTTTCAACATTTCTCTTCTAAAAAATATCTGATATATGTTGAGACGTTATCGCCTTGCAAAATTAGGGTATATTTCATCATCTAAATGACAAATATTTAATTGGAGAAAAAAATCCACAAAATAAAATAATCTCAATCGAAAGAGAGACTAAAGTTCTGCTAATATATGTACCAAATATTGGATATTTCTAATTAGAAATATTGTACAGGCACAGTATAATTTCCTGCCATTTTAAACATTCTTTGATTCCTGGGTACTTAAAAATTAACAATTAAATATAGTTTAAATTTTTAATTTTCTAAGCTGAAAAGGCACAGATTTTATGGAATGACCCATATATATATATAACTATATATATATATATATATATATATATAGTACATTTGTCATTTTAATTGTTCTGTAAGGTAACCTTGAGAGCCCTGAATAGCGCTTATAAATAAAATGTATAATTATTACTTATATATTATTACTAATTATTTATTCTGTATTAGCCATGGGCTGTATGGTGCATATGTTGGTGTAACTGCATACCCTCCATACAGTTTGGTGTTTCAAGTACACAGCTGTTTCTGCTGACCTACATGATGGTCTTACCGAACGGTGAAGAGTCAATCAAAGAGATGAAGAAATGGCCAAAATAAAACAGGTGGACTCTGAAAAGCTTTGAGAATTACAGCCATCATCATTAATCACACAATCATTCAAACACAACAGGACACATGCCCCCCCCTCTCTCTGTCTTCTTTCAGACACTGACCTCTGATGGACGCAGTTTGGACAAAATGTCCTCTTTATTCCTCGTACAGAGTCACTTTATGATTATTTCTCAGCCTCTCTTCTGTGGATGGGCCTTCACTTTCTTCTTCTTATTGTTGTTGTGGCACCTTCAGGAAATGTGTTCTGCTGTATCTGATGAAAGCTTCACAGGTAAAATTATGTTTACTACCTGCTGTCTGCACTTTCATCACAGCCTAAACTCACCATCAGGTTGGGGTTAAAATAAATAGAAGGGCTGATGAACCGTGGAAAAAAAGGGGAGAGTACAAGAAAATGTGTTTCTGTATTTCTGTGCAGTGCGTCAGATAGCACGGAGACTTTCTCAGAGATTACTTTGACGCACAGTGAATCTTCAGCCTCTATGAGAACAAGAGCTGCTTAAACATCATTAAACCCAACCAGCAAATATCTCGACTTACATGGGGGTCAGACTACACCCCCTTTCTCCCTGCATGAATAGAAAGATTGAGGATCACAAAATCAAAAAATTATTTCACGATCTAAACAAAAGATGAGACTTACTGATGGCGTGTGAGCAGCCATCATGACTGATGGTGGTTCCCACATAGACTGTATATTAAGTGGACGCTGACGCGAATATAGAATGCAAAATTGCGAAATATTCAGAGACAAATTTTGACGCGCCTGTTTATACACATCAAGCCCGATGTGATTTTGCGACTTTCTGGGTGGAAGCGAGAAGACTGACACAACAGCAGGCTGACTGTTTTTCAGTTCTGATTTGAAGCTAGTGTTGAGATGACTGTCTGTCATGATAGCATGTACTGAGTAGAGGCCAGTACCAGATATGCATATTAAACTATAATCCATAAACGTAAGGTAACAACCAAGAGCAACGCGATTGAGTTTGAGACAGTGAAAATACATATGGTATGTTGTATCTGAACAGGTTAGCTTACGAGCTAAAGTTACTTAGCACAGATGAAAGTTAAAACAAAGACGTTTAGCAAACTGTTAAAGCACACAAACTATTGTCAAATGAGAGATCAAATGCTATAACTCTCCACAGGTTGTTATCCTTGTAATGTGTGTGTCTTTTGTCTGACACGTAAACAATCAGCTGGTCAGCCATGTCGGATATACCGGTGAATCTGACGTCGCACCAACACTGATTGGTCAGAAGTGGACACACAGTATGTGAAACTTTAGAAAAATCGACCGTAATAATTGCACGACAAAAACGGTCCCGGTGTGAAAGGACCTTTACTGTGCAAGTGGTGAAGTGCGTACAAAGCTACTGCGCAATGTTGGTTACAATAGGAGAAAAAGCCCGGAAATACCGAGAGCTTTTTGGCTTCACATTTGTATACTGGTGGAAGGCAGAACCAAGTTGACCACAGTGTATACAGTCTATGGGTTCCCATAGTATGTGACTGTAAGATTGGGCTATGATCCTGCTGAAATCCTCCAGCTGACCTGGTCCCTATCCAAACAAAGTTTTCCAAACTGTTTGTTAATACAACAAAGAACCCATTGAGAAGAAACACTTAACCATCACTGAAGTAAAGAGTTACTGTAGTTCCAGTTACCTCCTCATTGCTCCAGCTTTCCATGAAAAGGGAGACTTTCCATTTAAACATACTCAGCTAGGTTTATGTTCTTTATGGTTAATACACTTTATGACGCTATTCCACTATGTAATTCTATACTACTATATAATACTATCCACGATATTATACCATTATGTTGTACCATACCACTTTATTGTATTATATCATAATATGATACTATACCACGATATAATTCTATACCAGTAAATAATACTATATGTGATTCTATACCACCATATTGTACTATAGCATTTTATTGTACTACACTACTATATGATACTATACCATTATCCTGAGACTATTACACTATGTGATACTAAACCATTGTTTGATACAATCCCGCTGCACAATGCCATACCCCTGTTTGATAGTGTACCACCGTGCTGTGAATACTCGAGCTACACATCCCAAAGCACGAGGATTAGAGGGAGATGGTCTTCAGTCCACTATATACCTTCAAGCTCTTTCATTGCTAATGCATTTAGTTATTTAGTTAAACATCTCCAGATGTTTCTCTTTGGAAATGGTTCCTTTTTCAGGAACTTTATCATCACTTAGGGTAAGACAGCAGCTTTGACAGGAATCATTTTCTTTTTATTAAATATACAGAACCTGAGAATCTCTTCTACGGGGAGTGTTTGCAGCAGCAGAGGATGAGGCTTTCAAGGTAGCACTGTGTGTTTCTAGGTCTGAGACCATTAAAACTCCACACAGGTCTTGAGTTGAGCACTGACAATGGAAAATCAGTTCAAATGAGTAACTACTGAGACAATGAAATAATAGATCCATATCAGTGAATCATTTTACAGTGATGTAGGGTGCGTGCTGAGCATTAGCGAGTTGTCATCTGTGATCACACAAAAGATTAGTGTGTGCAACCCCCCACCAACACCACCACCAAAAAAAAAAAAAAAAGAAGCACACATGACCAAAATATGAATATCACCCCCCCATCACCCCTGGTGCTTCCACACCACCACACATAGATTCCCATCCTGTGGGAAACACTGAGATGAATCTCCATTTCCATTACAGAGTTCCTGCTGTCAGAGCATGTTCTCAGAGCAGGTCACGACTAACTCTGCCTCTGGGATTTCAGACATATTGAATCTCAGCTGGTTCAGACGTCTGATTGACTCAAACCCTCCTAACACCTCTTCATTTTCTCATCAGTTCATTTTGGCTCATACAGCCTTTATTCCTCTTGGTTACTTTTCCTCGGTCATGCCTGTTTCCTAAGAGCTTCCTGTCTCCTGTCCTCTCTGTTCTTTCTTTACCCTCCTTTCCATCACTTTTTCATTTTCCGCAGTATTTTTTCAAACAATATACAGGTGTATGTGGGTCAGCAGGTGGATAAAACTATGATTCCCTTGCTTCAAACTGCTGAACAGAGCATTATTCTGAAAAATGGTGTTCACCTGTTTCTCCTCTCAAGGCTGAGTCAGAGAGACAGTCCTCTAACCTCTCTATAAAACAGACAGCGACAGGTGGTCTTTAGAAAGGCTCAGGCATTGTGGATCTGGTGGCTTTGCCTCCTGCTTTCTGCTACTGAGACAACTAAATACAGACGAAAACTCAGACTTTTACAGTCATGCACATGATTTTAGCAGTAGCCTGTGGGTCAAGAACAGGGATTAAAACCTATAAATACACTCAAAAACAGCTGTGGTATTTGGCTTAAAGGGATATTTCTGTGTGAATTTAAGTTATAGTCAAACGCACTGTAACACTGAGTTAGACACCCTGTTGAGAGATGAATGTTGCCGACTGCTTGCTTCTCTTGTTATACCAACTTCAGCAATGACAACACGATAGCAATACAATACACAGCGGTCTATGTCCCACTATAGCCACAAAGAATGCTCAGAACAGCACCTAACTTCATCAGCGGTACATATAGGGTCCCAGTCATAGTACAAACCCAGTTCCATGGAGGTTGGGAAATTGTGATAAACGATAAATGATTTGCAAATCCTTTTCAACCTATATTCAATTGAATACACTACAAAGACAAGATATTTAATGTTCAAACTGATAAACCTTTTTTTTTTTTTTTTTTTGCAAACAATCATTAACTCAGAATTTCATGGCTGCAACACGTGACAAAGAAGTTGGGAAAGGTGGCAAAACTACTGAGAAATTTGAGGAATGCTCATCAAACACCTATTTGGAACATCCCACAGATGAGCAGGCTCATTGGGAACAGGTGGGTGTCATGATTGGGTATAAAAGCAGCTTCCCCAAAAATTCTCAGTCATTCACAAGCAAGGATGGGGCGAGGTTCACCACTTTGTGAATAACTGTGTGAGCAAATAGTCGAACAGTTGAAGAACAACATTTCTCAACGACCAATTGCAAGGAATTTAGGGATTTCAACATCTACGGTCCATAATATCATCAAAAGGTTCAGAGAATCTGGAGAAATCACTGCATGTAAGAGAAACCAACACTGAATGCCTGTGACCATTGATCCCTCAGGTGGCACTGTATCAAAAACGGACATCAATGTGTAAAGGATATCACCACATGGGCTCAGGAACGCTTCAGACACTGATCAGTCAGACACTGACTCGCTACTTCTGTAAGTGCAAGTTAAAACTTTACTATGCAAAGGGAAAGCCATTTATCAACAACATCCAGAAACGCCGCCAGCTTCTCTGGGCCCGAGCTCATCTAAGATGGACTGATGCAATGTGTAAAAGTGTTCTGTGGTCACATTTCCGGGCCAAAAGGGGAAAAGAACCATCCGGACTGTTGTCAACGCAAAGTTCAAAAGCCAGCATCTGTGATGGTATGGGGGTACATTAGTGCCCAAGGCATGGGTAACTTACACATCTGTGAAGACAACATTAATGCTGAAAGGTGCATACAGGTTTTGGAGCAACATATGCTGCCATCCAAGCAACGTCTTTTTCATGGATGCCTCTGTTTAGTTCAGCAAGACAATGCCAAGCCACGTTCTGCACGTGTTACAACAGCGTGGCTTCGTAGTAAAAGAGTGCGGGTATTCGACTGGCCTGCCTGCAGTCCAGACCTGTCTCCCATTGAAAATGTGTGGCACATTATAAAGCGTAAAATACGACAACGGAGACCCCGGACTGTTGAACAACTGAAGCTGTACATCAAGAAAGAATGGGAAAGAATTCCACCTTCAAAGCTTCAACAATTAGTCTCCTCAGTTCACAAACGTTTATTGAGTGTTGTTAAAAGGAAAGGTGATGTAACACAGTGGTAAACATGCCCCTGTCCAAAATACTTTGGTATGTGTTGTAGCCATGAAATTCTGAGTTAATTATTATTTGAAAAAAAAAAAAAAACTTTGAGTTTGAACATTAAATATCTTGTCTTCGTAGTGTATTCAATTGAATATAGGTTGAAAAGGGTTTGCAAATCATTGTATTCTGTTTTTTATATTTATTTGTATTTATTTACGTTTATCACAATTTCCCATCTTCAATGGAATTAGGTTTTGTAATAGCCACCAAACATCTTTTTAGCTTTCCCTGGTTTCTTTGGCAAAGAGACCAAACACAACTCTGCCACACTCCTTCAGTAGCTGCTTGTTTGTGGGGGAGCCCTGACAAGCCGATCACCGAGTGGAGTTCTGCAGCTCAAGGAAGTAAATTTATGATTATCACTTCTTGGAAATGTTGTTGTTGCACACAGCAGCTGCAGCCATGCACCTAGTCTTCATGAGCCCATTTTAGGGAGCAATACACAACACAATAGCCCCCATTATGGACACAGACTACAAGCACACCTAACCATGGGGACACGCTGATTTTTCTCAATAAGAACAAGTATACAGATATCTGGACACGCATCAGTGCACCTGTTGCAGCAGTTCCTCATTCAGTCGTTTGAGCCCCACAAATATACTAAAATCTATACAGATTATATTTCCAAGTTACCAAAAAATGTTCCTCAATTCTTTCCTGAATTCCTTTGGCACGTATCATGTTTATTTTTTTTCTCATAATTGGTATTAACACTGTCAATTTGACTTCTTTTGGAACAAATGTAGCAGCTCCATCTGGGCTTTATGTTGCTTCCTTCTCTCTGTGAGCCGGGTTGTATCACCTGCCTCACCAGTTTCCAATCCCTCATCAGCAGTAGGTGCGGCACTGCGGTAAGGTGATGGCCATGAAGCTGCTTCTGAATGATGCTGCTGGGCCAGCTCTCACAGGTGGGTCAGCAGGTGGTATACCATCTTCCTACTACTGTACACCATTCAGGCTCCTCATTCACAAGACAGGTGAACCATACTAGGCTTCTTCGTAGAAAACAAAGACAACTAAGATAGATAGCAGAAATACGAGGGAAACAAGGGCTCAAAGTTAAAGACGAAAGAGGACGTTGGAAAGTCAAATCTGTCTGTTTTTAAGAGTAGGAGCATTTTGATCCTCCTGGAACTCACTGTGTTAGACCTCCACCCAAGAGTGGACTAAAATAAAGGGATGGAAACGTTGGTATGAGGTCTGCTCTTTGATAAAAACATGGCTCAGACCAGAGGAAAGAGATTTGCTCATTAAACCCGGGGTCATTTCAGGGAGAAAAACAGGAACAAAATGCCTCAAATTATCCAAATGACTGGTGCTCGGCATATTGTGTAATCCTGTCATAACCTCTTAAATTTATTCACATAATTGGAGTTGATGGGAACCAGAAGTTCAAATAAAAACTGATGAATATGCTCTTTGGTGGGAAAAACAAACCTTCAAAACAAAGAACAAACAACACTCTGAAGCGAAAACATAAAAGGCTTTAATTTACAGAGTTTTTGGATGACGTGCTAAAATCAGACACAGTCTTAGGAGGAAAAGGGGAAAGCTCAAACAGGTCCTGGATGAGGTCCAGCAAGGAGTAAAATAAAGACACCTGAGCAGATGAACAGGTAAATCAGAGGTGAAAACTCAGATCAGGACCACTGCATCAAGAGACAAATATTTTTTTAATTCATTTTAATGTATTCACTTATTTATTTGTCACTAACAAATGCATCAACCTCTCTTCAAAGTGTAAACCCAGGAGACTTCATAATCAGACTTTGATAAATGTAAACAGAAGATAACAGAGTCCTAAGTCAAAAATATAGTCAACGTTAAAACCACACAGAAAAATCAGTGTGAGCAAGAACAAGGAAGGCTTCAGCTAAGATGGAGAGCAGCATCAGGAGAGTCAAAAACACTTCCAGAGCACGTTTATGTTTCCATGAGGTTTTTGATTTGAAACTCTCACTGTCCACAGTCTGGATTCATTCTCAGCTTTTTCTTTAAGTATGTATTAAAACCCTTAAAGTCCCACTCTGATCATTTCTTTTGACTACTGAAAGTGTTCTCAGTGGTCTTCAAATTGTGATTATGAAGTTTTACCAAAAATCGCGTCACAAGTGTCATTTTCAAGGGCTTTTCTTCTGCAGAGCTCTTGTAGCTCACTAGCAATTCACCTCTTAGTCGTGGGCGGAGACAGCGCTGTTCTGCACACTCATCTTCACGTTAACTTTCAGCCTAACATTGCCTGTGCAGCAGAAGTGGCAGGTAACATAGGAGCTATTCAGCTCTCGGATACGAATGTCTCTCGGGACACGATGAAAACTAATATCATAATTAGCTTTCTTACGAGCACTGCAATCCACTAACGCACACGCTTGTTTTGCCATTGTCCTCTGTATTTCTCCTCTATATGCAGAGTGTGGCTTGCATAGCGGGGCTCTGGGAGCAGAGCTTGGATTGGTTACCTATGAATTAACACTGTTTTTGAACCTGCTGTTTGGGTCTGCCAGAGATTTACAGTGATTTGAATGAAGAAATACTCAAAAAAAGCGATTTCGCATTTAGTTTTCTCATGATATGTCCCATAGCATCCGAAAAAATGCCATATGAACACATAAAAAAAACAAGAAAAACATGATTTTCACTCATCGTAGTGGGTCTTGATATTCTGATGGTTTCTTTATTCAGATAATAATGCATGTCAGAGTTTATTCCTCTCACTGATGGTCCTTTCACACCGGGATCGTTTTTGTCGTGCAATCATTTTGGATGTCAGTATTTTTTTCAAACCCATATCCTGTCAATACAACATTTTGCTTTCCTGCGATACTGCGACATTTATTTTTTCGGATCATGGTCGATTTTTGATAAAAAACAGCAACATTAGGTCTCGGTTGTTACCTTACGTTCATGGATTATAGTTTAATGTGTTTATCTGGTACTGGCCCCGACTCAGAACATGCTATCATGACAGACAGCCATCTCAACACTAGTGTCTAATCAGAACTGAAAAACAGTCAGTCTGCTGTTGTGTCAGTCTTCCCGCTTCTACCCGGGACACGTCTTTCCCCCGGAAGTCGCAAAATCACATCAGGCTTTATGTGTATAGTCAGGCGCATCAAAATTCTCCTCCAAATATTTCGTAATTTCATGATCTATATTCGTGTCGGCCCCGGTGTGTAAGGAACTTGAGATGAATGATTCTGCTCCTCCTTTATCAGAATATTTCTGCTGTCAGGTCGGTCACACTCTTTGAATCGATAGTTATATGAATGAAAAAACTTTGAAAACTCTATAAATTATATTAGTGCAGAGTGGGTCAGTGATGGCAGATTTCTGACCCATTATTTGAATGTCTGTTTTTATAAAGACCTTTAGGGTGTGATTGTTGATGGTCCGACCCAAACCTTAGATGCAGTTAGTAAATGTTGTAGGATTGTATTGTAGGATTCATAAACTGCTGTGCTGCTCTTCGGGGTGAACGTGGTCTATGGAGATTAAAAAAAGAAATATTTCTGTTATCTGATGTCATTAGATAATAGCTGGTGTTTGTTGAGTGAGCGGGGTCAAACGAGATCAAAGTGGACACACACTGGACATAGATTCGCTGGTATTTGGGTGTGAGGCCTTCACAAAGCCAACATGCTTCCTGTGTGAAGCACCAGAGCAGCAGACAGTCAGCTGAGGAAACACAAGAAAGATCAGGGTTCACAAAGAACCAGACTGACCGCACCCTGAGGCAGTGATTCTCAAGTCCAGTCCTTGAGGCCCACTGTCCTGCATGTTTTGGATGTGTCCCTGCTCCAACACACCTGATTCAAATGTTCAGCTCGTTATTAAGCCATTACAGAGCCTGATAACGAGCTGATCATTTGAATAAGGTGTGTTGGAGCAGGGAAACATCCAAAACATGCAGGACAGTGGGCCTCAAGGACTGGACTTGAGAACTACTGGCCTAAGGTCCTTACAAAACCTAAAGGTCTATCAGAAACAGACTGTTTGATCCACCGACTGCTGTTAACCAAAGCTTCAACAGAGCATCAACACAGAGGAGCTGGAGATAATCCAGAGAGACCAAGAACAGCACATGAATCTGAGGAAAACCTGTAGCATCAGGCTAAAGACACCATCATCAGGAACATCTAAACTAACCCAGCACACATAACCCAAACTCTGATTTCTCTTCTTCAGTAAATCACACACAGCTGTCATTTTTTTGTAAGATTAATACCAGCAGAACTCTCCTCTGAAAGTAAAAAGTGCTGCACACACACACACACACACACACACACACACACACACACACACACACACACACACACACACACACACACACACACACACACACACACACGTTACAATTATAAAAGCAATATTAGTCAAACAGCAGGATAAGAGCAAAGCTACTAAGAGTGAGGCTTTTTCCACAAATAAGCACAAATGAGTATACTGACCCACACACACATCCACACACACAGACACACACGCACACACAGTGACAGAGCAGGTTAATCTTTATTGAGGCTCTTGTTCCTGACAAATAAGTGTTGGGAACAAACAGAGAGGCAGCGTGGCGATGTTAGCCGAATGTCTTCTCTTAATTAAAACACTCGCCTTTGTTTCACCTGAGACACGATAACAGCTATCTGAGAGAGGGAGATAAGGGGGGAGGCAGGGTTTAATACCAGGAACAACAACCAGGAAACTCTCCCAGTGTGTGTGTGTGTATTAGAGTGAGTGTATCAGAGTGTGTGAGGGGTGTAACCATCCTCTGAGTTAATAATGCAGAGCTTTGAATAAACATGCATCCTGTGTGTAGATATCTAATCATGTAAACCTGTCAACTGCACACACACATTCAAACACGTATCATGCAGTGGAAAAAGAGCTGTGTGCGTGTGTGTGTGTGTGTGTGTGTGTATGTGTGTGGGACAGAGAGAACATGCTACAGAGGGATAAAGTGTATCCGTTCAGTAATGGATGTGTCATCCTCAGGTTTATGAAGAGATGTTATTAAGCTCAGATTGTGTTACTGCAGATGATCAGAAATGCTGCAGACACACACTCCTGTCACAGAGGAGGGGAGGAGGAGGAGGAGGCCTGATCAAAGTAACAATCATCACAGCTATTATCACAAACTAAAGGTCCTTACACAACATTTTTTTTCAAACCCGTATCCTGTCAATACAAGCGTTCACATCAGCGATGTTTTCCCGTCCTACGATATTGCAGCATTTATTTTTTCAGATCATGGCCAATTTTTCTAAAATTTCGCATACTGTGTGTCCACTTCTGACCAATCAGATTGTGTGTTGTTGCGACGTCTGATTCACCGGTAGGCTATATCCAACATGGCCGACCGGTCGATTGTTTACGCTTTTTGATAAAGGCACAAACATTACAAAGATAACGACCTGAAGGACATCTTGGGGAGAGTCATAGCGTCGGATTTCTCATATGACGATGGTTTGTGTGCTTTAACAGTTTGCTAAACGTATTTGTTTTAATTTTCATCTGTGCTAAGTAACTTTAGCTCATAAGCTAACCTGTTCAGATACAATATACCATATGTATTTTCACTGTCTCAAACTCAATCGTTGCTGTCACAGCACCATTAGGTCTCGGTTGTTACCTTACATTTATGGATTATAGTTTAACGTGCTTATCTGGTACTGGCCCAGACTCAGTACATGCTATCATGACAGACAGCCATCTCAACACTAGTGTGTAATCAGAACTGAAAAACACTCAGTCTGCTATTATGTCAGTCTTCTCGCTTCGACCTGGAATGTGTCTTTTCCCCCCCGGAAAGTCGCAAAATCGCACCGGGCTTGATGTGTTTAGTCAGGCGCATCAAAATTCTCCTCCAAATATTTTGTAATTTTGTGTCCTATAGTCATGTGGGCCCCGGTGTGTAGGGACCTTGACCCCAGTCTTTCTTCTTATTGAGGTCACCTCAATAACGTAACTGAACGGTCTGCACTCATACAGGGTACACTATGATTACGCATATTCCATGTTACATTTGCTGACAGTTATGTTGTCCAACAGCCAATCAGCAGTTGGTCTGAATCAAGGTGGTCAGTTTCCACTTGGGTCTCAACTGGAGACCGAAGCTTTACTTTGCTTGCGTAATCATGATTTTCTCCCTTGATGTCAGTTAATTGCTCTGTCTAGGAGGTGGAAGTATAATGGGATGAATAGGTCCAAGAGGAAGAGCATAGGTGGCGCTGAAATAGATGGAATAACAAAAGAAGCTCTTTCGAAGGTAACAACGCCCAATGAGCAAAATTGAATAAGTTATTCATTAAAACAAACTCACAGCTCGCTGTAAAGGCACCAGGTGAGGAAGATGAAGAAACTGCAGGTGTCTTAAATTTTATTAAAGAAAAGACAAATTTCTGTTCTGTTCAGTCAGCCTGGCATTCACACCTGTGATTAGTGATAGCCGTTTCATAAAGAGAGGTATGAATACCTGGAAACACACGAAACAAAGGATCGCAGAACATGAGAAAAGAAAGACACACAGAGATAGTGCCATCAAGAGTCTGCTGACAGGCAACCACATGTCATCACAGGCTGAGCAAGTAAAGAGAAAAGTTAGGTGATGGAGCACATTGTAGACACCATTAAAGTTATAAAGCATCAGTTATAGAGGGAATAGAGAGGAAGCCCTAAAACACTGCTGTAAATCATGGCCTTGTTCTAGAGTTGATACTGCTCCTAAATAGGTATGATACTTGCCTTCAACAGCGTGTGAACACGTGCACAGAAAATAGTAAGAAGCAGCATGAAAACTCACTCAAAGGGCAAAAGACACATGCAACAATGTCATGGGTGTCATCAGCAAACTGATTAAGACAACTGTTAAAGAAGCAGTTTGGCAGGCTGGCATGTTTTTAGCCCAGGTGGACACAGTCCAAGTATTAGACCAGAGCTCCATCATCCTAAGATATGTCATACTTGAAGGACTCCTTGCCATGGTGGACTCTGGGTCAACAGGGAAGCATTTTACTCTTGGAAAAAGTTCTGCTGGAACTCAATATGGACATGTTAACTGATGGTACAGCCAATCTCTGAGCCGTCTCCCAATCAGATTCATTCATGTTGTTATGCACAACTTTTGAATCTTGTCTTGGCTGACACGGTGGGGAGTGTTGTACAAAGTGCAACACTTTTCTTAATGCTTCATAAGGATTTCATAGGAGAGTCATACAAGCATATGCAAAAGTGGGAAGAGACAAGTCAGGACAAGCATCATAAAAGGCTGTGCCCAGTAGGACAAACTAGGTGGTGGGCAGTCCGTGGCTGAGGATCAAGCTCTGAGTTAAGTGTTTGGGTGCTTTGGGAATCCTCAGGAAGCAATGTCGTTAAGCCAACTGTGAGGACCGAGTCATGGGGACACATGGAAGGACTCTTGAAGTATGAGACAGTTCTCACTGCTAATTTTTTAGCATACCAGTGGTGGACTGGACCATCGGGATCACCCGGCCAATTCCTGGTGGTTTGGCGTGCATGCAGTCGCTCTAAGATGTGATTGTTTTGAGTTCAATAAGGTCATCGACCGACACCAAGATGGCTACAATGCTAGTAGTGCGTGCTAATTTCAAGTTTTACGCCTCTCAAGAACTTTGACTTTTTTTGACAGGCTTTCAACATTTTATTATAATACAACAGCAATGCGGTAGGCTACATTCTGAGTTTAAATGAGTAAACAAATACATAAAGGCATGACTAATACAGAGTTTTTATTACCATTTTGTTTTTACTTCATATTAAATTTGCAGTTATGTAGTCAATGTTGAATTCAAAATGTCCAAATGTCCAAAACTTTTTGTCAGTGCCAGCATTTCCGCGTCAATGTGTATTGGCCTGGCCTGGATGGAGCCAAACTCCTGGCCTGATTTATGGTCCCAGTCCACCCCTGGAGCATACTACTCCTCTTTACTTAGAGACAAGAGAAATAGAGGTTATCACAGTTAAGCATCTGTTTGAAGGAACAGAGGATAGTGTATGAAGTGTGCAAGGGACTTTGAGGGAGTTAAGAGAGCAGCTAAAGAGTTTGTTATGTGTGTTCGTGAGAACATGCAAGAAAGCGAAGAGTGGAGCTGATCATGCAGACTGCCCTTTCTGAAAAGAAGGGTCAGAAAAAAGAAAAAAAGGTCAGGGGACCTTGCATTGGCATCAGCAGATCCTGACTTCAAGGTTAACAGTGTAACAATGTAACTGCAGACACTTTCATAGAGAGTATTAATAGAAGGTTTTCTTCTCCATGCACTGATCTTTGTCAGGACAGCCAGCGAGATGCCACAAGGTCTTTTTCTCATATGTGAATAGCTTGTGTGCTTTAACAGTTTGCTAAACATCTTTGTTTTAACTTTCATCTGTGCTAAGTAACTTTAGCTCGTAAGCCAACCTGTTCAGATACAATATACCATATGTATCTTCACTGTCTCAAACTCAATCACGTTGCTGTCACAGCACCATTAGGTCTCGGTTGTTACCTTATGTTTATGGATTATAGTTTAATGTGCTTATCTGGTACAGGCCCCGACTCAGTACATGCTATCATGACAGACAGACATCTCAACACTAGTGTCTAATCAGAGCTGAAAAACACTCAGTCTGCTATTGTGTCAGTCTTCTCGCTTCCACCTGGGACGCGTCTTTTCCCCCCAGAAAGTCACAAAATCTCATCAGGCTTGATGTTTATAGTCAGGCACGTCAAATTCACCTCCGAATATTTCGTAATTTCATGAGCTATATTCGCGTCAGCCCTGTATGTAAGTGGGCTGGTCTGAGACTTGAAACGAATCCCACTGTGTTTCTTCACCTGATGATGAATGATGATGATGAAAATAGATGAGATGTGCACTTACTTTAAAGAATCTTCCACATTTTTGAAAAAAAACGTGCAAAAACAGTCTCTGGATGACCCTGTAGCAGGTCAACTGTGTGTGATGGATCATAGTTCTTGTTTTGTACCTGACAGGCTCAGCTTGTTTTTCTCAAATTGTGTTGGCATCAGACCTAGATAGAATTATGAATTTGTTCAATTTGCTCAAAATTCAACACCTGAATATTTTGTGTTTACCTGCTTGATTTGCATAAATAACTCATTCCTTTTGAAATGCCATATCACGTCAACATGAGCGCCCAAACACCTGAGTCAATGTGAGAGAGGAAGGATCCCTATCACGCCATTTCTGTGTGATTTCCTCAAACATGGTTGAGGTTTACCACATTGTGAGGATTTGTTGCAGATAATCTGGTCTCCTACTTTCCTCTCTTTCAATGAGCTCCTTTTTATTCTGTTTCCTTCAAGAAAAGTTCTCCTTTTAGTTACCCCTAGATTGTAAAATCATACCTTGGCATAATGCTGACTGCTTATAACAACTCAAATAATGCACTAAAAATGAAAGGTTTTTACCTAGAGATTTAACAGCCCCTGCCTGCTGGTCTTTAAAAACTCTAACCTGTGCTTAGGTTGAAGCTTAGAAAACACCTTCCTTAAAAAAATAATAATCTCCTTAGTCCTTTTGTCTTCTTTATGTTAGTTAATGTGAAATTTTGAAATTGTTTTAGTTGGACATCAAGCTTCTTTTTCTTAGTTACCTGCCTGATTTCAAAGTTGCCTCTGAACGTCATCCTGTGGGCCAAATTTTTGTGGTGAGACTGAAGTAACACCCAAAGGACCCTAAAAGCGCTGGTTCTGCATTAAGGCCTGTGTGCTGTGACTCCGGTAGGCTGGACCTTCAGTGAACATGCTCCATCCTCCCTAACAACCAGCCTCACTTAAGTATGCAAACCTCCAGAGCTCCAAACAGGGCTGATGCTGTCTCATTCATTCAGGATCCAAACAATCACTAACTGGAGTAATCCTTAGTCCATCCAAATTCACATCCAGATTTATTTTTATTTTTTATCTGAGGTAGACTTTTGTTTTCCCATGATTTAAAAGATGGGTGGTGCCCATGTCTACAAGTGCATTAATGTCTTATCATATATTTAAACAAATCAGAATTTTAGACAGTTATTATGAATAAAAATCACTACACATTACTTCTTCAAAACTAGTTTTAAGGGTTCACTTGCTGAAGTTGAACCTTTAATCAAACTTCTCTTGTTCCTAGGCCCATATGTCTAAGCTATATAGTCACAATTATCAGTGATGAGGGTTTAAGAGAGCACAAACACTGAGAAGGACACAGGTGTCACCTCTCCAGCACGGCTCACCTTGTTGAAGTGAAGTCGTGGGAGATCTCTCGGATGGTGAAGTGGAATAATGGGACGTCTCCAGGGCTAAACCCTTTGAAATTGTACATGCTGCTAAACAAGAGCATTATTCAAGATCACATAATCATTCTATGCAGATGATACCCTGGTGGATATGTAACATCTCTGTTTCATTAACAGTTTAAAGTTGTGCAACACTAAGAGGTCTTTGGAAAAACTTGATTGATGTTCACACTGGGAAACTGCACCAAAAAAGCTCAAAAACCTTTAAACATTGATGACTTGTTGAGACAAGAAGCAAGGTCTCACATCAGAGTAGAAGTCCTCTCCGTCATGAACTGAGGCACAGACAAGGGTGGACATAAATGCAAAACACAGAGGCAGCTGGTCAATTAGGCACAAGGTTTAACAATAAATAGGCAAGGGTCAGTACAAAAGTAGGCATTGAAATCAGGCAGCAGTATTAAAAAACCTGAAGCAAAAGGCAAGGTCAAAAAAGCAAACAAATTCAACCAGGACTAGACTATGACTGACTATGACGAATGCTGGGACGAAGACTGTGAGGTACAAGAAACTGGAGTGGGCCCAACTAATAACCTCCCCCCTCAGAGATTCAACCACAAATGATTTATCTGTCAGACAACCTGAGTTGAGAAGAACATTCTCATAGGCCGTCTTGACTTTGCTCTCCATTTCCCTCTTAAGCACAGGCACAAAACATGACTTAGGGAGGATAGATTTTGGCACAAAGACCTGATCAATAAGATCTCATTTGTGAGACAGAGAGTCAGGTTTTACGATTTTGGAGCTGGGACTGATAAAGAGCACAAAATAAAAGTGGCTAAAGAAGCTTGTCTGACATTTAACCTTTTAGCAGACTTTAAATATCTGAGATTTCTATGATCAGTCCATATCTGTCACAGAACTTGAGCTCCCTTCAGTCAATGTCATCACTCATCCAGGCCCACATGACTGCCAGCTACTCACATTCATCGATGTCACAGTTTTGTTCTGCTGTGGTGAGTTTCTTGGACAGAAAGGTGCATGGATGTGTTTTACTATCTTTATGATAACAGTAACTTGGTAGAAAACCACTCCTCCGATCTCAACATCTAACGCGTCCACCTCGACCACGAACTGTGGGCGGGGGTCCAGGAGGATGAGCACAGGGGCGGAGATAGAGCTTTCTTTTAGGCCGTGAAATTCTGCATCACATTCTGGGGGGAGAAGTGAGGTTATGCAGGAGAGTGGGGAGTGGCCCATTACGCCACTGAAAAGACCCTCTCAGTGTTCATCCTTAACTCTCTCTCTGCAAGCACAAACCCCAGGAAAGAAGCCGAGGGTTAGTGGAACCCAAATTTCTCCACTTTGACACACAGTTGGTTCTGAAGCGTTGTAGTACGAAGCGGACACGCTGAGTGTGGGTCTTCTCATCAGGGGGGAAAAGATCAGGGTGTCATCTAGGTAGACAAACACATACACTTTAAGCATGTCCCTAAGGATGTCATTGACAATAGTGGATGTGTTGGTTAACCCAAATGGCATGTTAAGATACTTATAGTGTCCCGTGGGTGTGGTAAAGGCAGTTTCCCATCTGTCCCCTTCTCTTATCCTGGCCAAATCATAGGCATTATGTAAGTCCAGTTTAAAGAAGACCTTAACTACCCCTAGAAGCCTATAGGCTAGGAAAAGATAAAAGGAAGTGGATACCTATTCCTGACCATAATGTTATCAGCCACCAATAATCAATACAAGGGTGGAGTCTTGTCTTTCTTCTCCATGACGAAAAACCCTGCACTTGCAGGATGTAAATGTACATGACGTGTACCTGAAAAAATTTATACAGGTTTAGGAGCAACATAATCATGCTGCCATCCAGACAATGACTGTTTCAGTGAAGACCTTCATATTTCAGCAAGATCACATTCTGCAGGGTTTACAACAGCATGGCTCATGTAGTAGAGGAGTCCTTTACATGTTTGAGTTCTACCACAGATTCAGCTTCAGACTGACACAAACAGCACAAAACGCTCATACAACTTTTTAAGAAAGTACAGATCTGGAGATTCAACTAAGGGAAAATAAACGAAACACACAGAAAAATAACAGAGACTTTAGACATGGGAAGCCCACAGAGGACTTATGGTGTGTCCCAAATCGCATACTTCCATACTAAATACTTAGATTTTTCAAATTGAGTATTCTTAGCATACTATGTACTCAATCGCCTAGTGCTTGAGTTTCGAGGGTGCAGTGTTACTGCCACATGCCGCACTCACCGGAAATGACGACGCGATTTCTTCTTCTACACCAATTCGTCACCAGCTAGCTCTGCATCAGCTAATTACCGCCACCTTTTGCCTGCGCTCATTCATCCACTTTTGAGGTAAAATCAGCGACAAAATTAACGTTCATTGCTCATTTTTACACCACGGATAACGCTTCAGAATCCAGCGGCCACCAGCTAACGAGCTAACAAGCTAACTAGCATTCACGATAACGTTCACAGTAAAAAACAAACAGGTTACCCAGGTTACACCACAAATATACCCAAAACGATAAACGCTGGCAGTGCTTGGCAGAAAGAACATGTGTAAAAGGCAACCTATTACTTCTGTACAAAGCTCCCAGGTCGACCGTCGCCGACCCTCTGGCACCACAGCCGTCCGCAGCCATTCTTACTGATGAAATGAGTGCGGAGAGTGTCCACAGTCGGATACTCAAAATCTTGACCAATTTGAGTACATTATCCAGGTACTTTTGCCCACTCAATTTTCACATACTATCCATACTTTTTTTTCATTTTGCGTTGAGTATACTCTTAAAATTTTAAGTATTTAGTACTGGAAGTATGCGATTTGGGACACATTAGTGTCAGAGTAAAACTAACTGATAAAAGCTCAGGAATCAGAGAACCCCAAACCTAACGAAAAATCAGAAGACTCTCACACTGAGGTTTGAGATTTTACATATTTATTGGTAGAGCTCTTTTCATTCTCCAACATGAATCCTAAAAAGTTTCCAATGATTAGTTAAAGGAAGAAACAATAAAATTAGCAGGTCCAACACTGAAACCTCAGCTCCTCTGTCCTTTAAACTCCATGGTCTCTCCAGAGCCCTGCTCATACTTAAACCAAAATATTTAATTCCTCTAAGAGACACAAACAAATGCAAATGAAGCTACAAAAGGAGGAGAAAACTGTGTATGTGGAGCTTTGTGTTGGCTCAGAGGGAAGTTTAATGAGCGTGTTTGTGTTGTTTTTATTATTGCTCGTGCTCATTTTCCCCCTCCACAGAGCTGTAAAATTTACACTTTTCAATATTCAATGTACATCCCGTTAGCCTCTAGCTAACGCGTTTCACTGACTGTTTTGATAAGTAACAGGACAACCATAGAGTGTAGTAACAAGCTGAAAGGGAACATTTCGCCACCTACTGTGGAGAAGGATGGCACTCTTCTGATTATAATGTGATCTTTGCGCAGTGTTGATAAACTGGGACAAGGGCAGCAGTCCAGTTAAGTTACCTTATCCAGCTATGACCACTGCTCGACTTCACTGTTCTTGTTAACAGACTGAGTGAAGAGCTCTGGAGTTGCCTCAACACAGAGTGGAGTACTGATCCTGAAGTCTGTTATGTACAGACCGTCAGGGGGAGGATCAGAACCTGTGTTGATAACCAACCCGACTAGGGTCACTTTTTTCACTGTGAGTATTTACAATGAGTAATCCATCCATAGACGACAAAAGAAGATATTTTGTCAGTTAACCATTTGCACAAGGACAATCTTCCATCTTCGTAACATTGCTAAAATTAGGTCTGTTGTGTCACACTCTGAACTTGAAATGATCATTCATGCTTTTATTTCTTCCCACCTGGACTACTGTAATTCACTTTTCACCTGTCTTAGTAAGTCCTCCCTCCATCGCCTGCAATTAGTCCAGAATGCTGCCGCAAGACTATTAACCAAGTCCAGCCGGACAACCCACATCACCTCAATTCTGTGTTCCCTTCATTGGTTGTCAGTGAAATTCAGGATTAACTTCAAGGTTCTTATTTTTGTAAATAGAGCTCTGCATGGTCAGGCCCCAGAATATATTGCTGACCTGCTTCACCCCTATATTCCGAGTAGGTCACTCAGGTCTGCTGACCAGGGCTTGCTAGTTGTCCCTCGAAGTCATCGAAAAACAAGAGGTGACCACGCTTTTGAAGTGGTGGCTCCATTGTCATTTTTAAAAAGCTTATAAAGACTCACTTATTTAAACAGGCCTTTACCTCCCCCGGTTTTAACTACTGCTCTATTTGTGCCATTTAAAAAATATATATATATATTGTTCTTTGATTTTACTTCATGTTTATGTTTGTATTTTGATTTTTTTTACTTTGTGAATCTTTTCTATGAAAGGTGCTATCTTAAATAAATTTTACTTACTAAAGGTCCTTACACACCAGGGCCGACACGAATATAGAACGCAAAATCACGAAATATTCGGAGGTGAATTTTGACGTGCCTGACTATACACATCAAGCCCGATTTTGCAACTTTCCAGGGGGAAAAAGATGCATCCCGGGGAAGACTTTTCCCGGGGAAAGTCCTGCCACCTTCGCCTCTGATTGGCTTGAAAAGCTGGAAACATCATCACACGCTCAAGCCAAATGGTCAGCACTTATAGCCAATCAGAGGCGAAGGAGGGTGGGACCTTCCTTTAACAATCAGCATCCCGGGTAGAAGCGAGAGGAAAAAAATGGAGTCTACTTCAACTTCAAGTGATGGCGAATTGGTACTCCTTTTGCTTTCTTAAAAGAAAAATAAACGTAGCACATGGGTGCATCCAATATTACAAAAAAGAAGAGAACTTGCTGAGTTTCACTGCTTGGTTCAGGAGCTGAAACTGTACCACGGTCGCTTCAGAACCTATTTTTGGATGTCTGTTGGACAATTTAAAGTTCTGCTGAAACAATTAGCTCCAAGTTTGAAGAGGCAGAGGACTAGACACTAGTGTTGAGATGGCTTTCTGTCATGATAGCAAATACTGAGTCGGGGCCAGTACCAGATAAGCACATGAAACTATGGTAACAACCGTTAGCTAACGTTAGCACAGATGAAAGTTAAAACAAAGACGTTCAGCAAAATGTTAAAGCAAACGAAACATTGCCATATCAGAAATCCGACGCTATGACTCTTCACAAGTTGTCCTTCAGGTCGTTATCTTTGTAATGTGTGAGTAAATGATCATAAACAATCAGCCGGTCGGCCATGTTGGATATAGCGGTGAATCAGACATTGCAACAACACGCAATCTGATTGGTCAGAAGTGAACACACAGTATGCAAAACTTTAGAAAAATCAACCATGATCCGAAAAAATAAATGCTGCAATATCACAGAACGGGAAAACGTTGCTGATGTAAAAGGTTGTATTGACAGGATACGGGTTCGAAAAAAAAATATCAACGTTCAAAATAATCCCACGAAAAAAACGATCCCGGTTTGAAAGGACCTTTACTTTGCAAGATAAAACCAGTGACATGCTTGATATGGGCCTGTCCACAGGAACACAAAAACTACATAAAAAGTCTCTCACTGGAGCTTTAACAAAAACAATAGTGAGGCAGAAAGAAAACTGCCAGTTGATAATCAGAGTCAATTACACAACAACTTTTATAGACTGTAGTGTGAAAGTACTCAGCACATCATCTGATCTGATATCAAACTGTAACCACACACCTGATCAATGAACTGATGAGGCGATAATGGCTTCTGTTTGCTGAGACTGAGCTGGTTTAATTAATCTGGGTTGACTTGGAGTATAACTCAACAGAGTGAGCTGATGTCTAAATCAAAGACTGTGAGAGGCTGTAAAACAGGGCTGTGAAGGTGTGTGTGTCTGTGTATGTGTGTCTGGTAAAGGGGGGCTGTCACGTCACAACATCACGAACATTTACCCCCATACCCCCCCAACCCGACTGACGTCATCTCACATAACTACTTAAACGTCCGCAACGGCACGAGCCACAGAGGTGAACCACCGCGAGCACCCAGAGTGGACCCTCTCGAGCTTGGCCGGTGAGTGTGCGTGTGCGTGTGATAGTTTTCGGACAGGTGACCGGAGACACCTGAAAGTAGCTCCCGGTACTTCACGTCACTTCAGGACCAGAGAAAGAGAGAGAAAGAGGGAGAGAGCGCTGATTGGCTGAATCCTGACAGCTCTGCCTCCGCGTGCCACACAGGGAGCCGAGCGCTCATATAAATAGGGTCAACAGGCTCGCGCTCTCCAACAATTTCACACCTGCCGGAACCCCGAAGGGCACGCGCAGCAAACAGACGGACAGACCGGTCTGATACAGACTGATACTAACAGAGGTAAGCAGGTATAACGCTTTCACTATTCTTTATAGAAAATAACTGTAATTATGCTAATTATGCATCATGTTGGTTGGACCTGTACTCAAAATAGGCTACATAACAGTTTTTAACTCATTTATGCACTTTACACACTTTTTTGGTCATGTGTTTTGTATGAAAATTGTCCGTTGAATATGGACTATTGTCATTTCAGTATTAGGTGTAGTGGTACGAGCAATGGTAGTGTCTTAATAAGTCATATAATTCACCAAATAATCAGTTTTAACGATCTTCTTATGTTTGAAAGTGGAAGTTTTTTTTTTGTAATCTTCATTTCTAATTATTTGTAAAGCAAGTTTAACGCAAAGTTTGGATTATGCTTACAAATTATTTAATATTGTCTAAACAGACTGACAGATTTTTCTGTGTGTGTGTGCGTGTGTGTGTGTGTGTGTGTTTGTCCTCAGTCCATGGCGTCCCCCACTCACAGCAGCAGCAGCAGTGTGTGGATGCTGGTCCTGGGGGTGTGTGTATCCATGGTCGTGGGATCAGACTGTGGGAAGGAGTGTGCGCTGTGTGTATACCGCCTTCTGGGGCAACAGTCCACCTTATCCTCTCTGGTAATGTCACCATGTCTTTTTATTACTATTACTGTTACTATTTATCCTCCTCTTACACTCAGAGATGAGCAGAAACAAAAAACTTAAATTTTGATATAGGAAAAAAATAATAATGTGATTTCAAACAAATTAATGTACTTATAAAGACATTTACACCTGCATAGATGTAAAGGCAGTGTACATGTAGCTGAACATCTATATTCACACAGCAATGTTTAGTCCTGCCATCACGACATACAAAACATCCGTATGTTTCAGTGCGAATAGTTGAAAGTGTATAAAGATACCTGTATTTTTTTATGATTCTTAGCAATATAAAATGTCGCAGGAGAAGGACCACTTTCTGATGTTGTGTTTCTGAAGCTTTTTTGTAACAATTCAAAAATATCTCTTTTTTGGCTGAAATGTGATATGTTTGATGTGCCGAGATAAATACGTATGCAGATCATGCTGTAAAAGCATAAAAACGTGCACTCATCTTACTCCGATTTTACGCACATGGTGTGGTCGGTATAATGAGAGGGTTTACCTTAAAATCAAAGTGAAAATATTCGCAGTGTTCTGGTTTGTAAGCCTTGTACTGTCACACTTGCTGCATCACTTTCGGCCAAACGTGTAGCTCTGTGTGATTTTTAATGAAGTCAAACTAAAAGGTTTACCAGAGCTGCTGTTATGATTCAGTCACAGTCTTTCCAGCTTACTGCTTCATCACTCTGAAGCTTTTTTCTCTCTTACTACTGTCAATATTTTTCACTTTTTTCTCTGTTACGTCTCTCATCCTCCTTTCTTTCATTCAATCCTCCACCTCTCTCTTTCGGTCCACAGTAATCAGTTGACTCCTTCGCTCCTCTTCTCTTATAGATTTTTTATTCCTAAAGTCTCTCTCTCCTGCTTGTCCTTTCATTTTTTTTCTCCAGCTTTATTTTCTCCTCCTCTCATTGTCCGTCGATGTGATTGAGGTGAAATTGTTCTAATCGCTGACAGTCAATACTCCACGCCACTTCACTCAGGAGCATTTCCATTTGCTCTTTTCTTTCTTTCTTTCTTTATATCTTTCTTTTTTTCTTTCTTTCTTTCTTGCTTTTGTTCAGCTTTTTTTATTCTCCTTTTCCAGCTCTCTGTTTTAATTTTCACGTCTCTGAACCATCCATTTTTATCCCCCTCATACTGCTCTGTAGTCTTCCCCCTGTTTAAAAAGTTAAACCTATTTAAACTGAAAAACCCAGATAGAAATAATTAGTTTGAACAGAGTGAAGAACAAAATAAATTAAAGTTGATCAAAGTGTTATTTTAATAGAATCAAGAGGCATATAAGAGTATGAGAGTATAAATGGCTTTTAGTGCTGAGCTATCAGTCTTTCTCGAAAATGACGGAAATACAAATTGAGGACTTGAACTGAGCAAAGCTGAGCTGAAACATCAGTTAATGAATCAAAAAGACTCCATTAATCTCATCAATCACTTACCAATCTGAAATCAATCACCTTGGAAAAAAAAAAATAGCACGACAGACTGATTCCAGCTCCATGGAAAACATGGATGCGTTCAGGTTTCTCTCCATGTCTACGTCGGTTTTAGAAAAAAAAAAACGTCTGAGGAGTTTGTCTCAGACTTTGACAATATCTTTACAGTTTTAATTGTAAATAAATCATCAGCTGCCTGTAACTGGAGCATAATATTCAGGTGATAAGCACTTTGAAAGCTCAATCAGAATAGAAATGCTCCGTATGAATATGAGGAGAGGAGAGGGGGCTGGGATAACATCTTTTTAGTCCAGACAGCTTATAATAAGCTGTTAAGATAACTTATAGCAAGATTTCATCAATACAGATGCTAGTATCCATCCTGTTTACTCAATTCTCGAACATTTGCTGTGTGATAAACAGATTTTCTGATATGAGTTTTAACCATAGACTGTATATAGTATGGACAACTTGGCTCTGCCTTCCCTCATTATCCGAGTTTGAAGCCGAATTGCTCTCGGTATTTCCGTGATTTTCTCCACTTCCAGGAACAGTAGCATTGTAAGCATTCGGCGGGAGAGTCTGTGATGACGCTCGGCTCAAACAGCGTATCCCCCAAGCGAGCGACACAATCTTCATATGCCCATAGTCAGTATCAAGTCTTAAACATAGAAAACATGAACCCCTAAAAACGCTTAAAAATGGAGCTGAACAGAAAAAAGTGCACAAACCAGTCTTGAGGTCCTTACACACTGGGACCGACAGAAATCTACAATGCGAAATTACAAAATATTCTGAGGCGAATTTGACGCGCCTGACTATACACATCAAGCACGATGCGATTTTGCGACTTTCTGGGGGGGAAAAAGACGTGTCACCGGTGGAAGCGAGAAGACTGACACAACACCAGACTGAGTGTTTTCAGTTCTGATTAGACACTAGTGTTGAGATGGCTGTCTGTCATGATAACATGTACTGAGTCGGGGCCAGTACCAGATAAGAACATTAAACTATAATCCATAAACATAAGGCAACAACTGAGACCTAATGGTGCTGTGACAGCAACGCGATTGAGTTTGAGACAGTGAAAATACTTATGGTATGTTGTATCTGAACAGGTTAGCTTACGAGCTAAAGTTACTTAGCACAGATGAAAGTTAAAACAAAGACGTTTAGCAAACTGTTAAAGCACAGAAACCATCGTCATATGAGAAATCCAACACCATGACTCTCCACAAGTTGTCCTTCAGGTCGTTATCTTTGTAATGTTTGTGTCTTTTATCAAAAACCACTCTGTTCTCTGACACGTGAACAATCAGCCGGTCGGCCATTTTTGGATATACCGGTGAATCAGAAGTCGCAACAACACGCAATCTGATTGGTCAGAAGTGGACACACAGCATGCGAAACCTTGCTTATGTGAACGCTTGTATTGACAGTATACGGGTTCGAAAAAAATTATTGACGTCCGAAATGATCGCACCACAATAACGGTCCCAGTGTGTAAGGACCTTTACGGTTAATACATGTCAACATCTCAAGCAGGGGGTAGAAAAATTTATATTCTGTGTAATTAATTTCTAAAGTTTTTCCCCAGCTCCATTAAGATTGCTGAAGGAGGCGGGATTTATGACCTATACTGCAGCCTGTCACCAGAGGGTGCTGTTCTCAGGGTGGCTTCACGAAGCGAAGAGGCAAATAGAGTCCATTATATATACATTCTATCGTTTGAACCTTTAACCTTTTATAGGACTGCTGATTGCAAATCAATACAAAGATTTAACAAAGTCAGGTAGCAACAGAAATGACACTATTTACTCAAATGAATCCATAAATCATCACAGATTACCTTTGCTTATGAAGGATGGCTGCTGGTCTCACAAAGAGAGTGGATTTTAGAGTTAGTTGGTACGTCTCCATGTTGTATTTTTAGAGGTGTTATTGAAAACATTTGTTTTTGTTTTATTTTTTTATATGACAGTGTTTTGGACCGCTTGTGTCTCCAGCCCACCTAATTAATTACTTCTTTGGTCGTCATTCCTGCTGACCTCCTCTCACCATGTGTCCCATCACTGTTTTGTAAGGCAAGTAGAGCTAAGTGGATAGCATCAGTAAGGGAACCATTAGGAATGAAGAGAAATGATGCTGATAGCCTGAGTGAGTTGAAGCTGACTCTCATCTGAAACAGACTTTTGATTCCTGGCCTTTCTGCTGACAATCAATGGATTGGTCACTGTAAGATGAGCCATTTAAAGCCATGTGATAAACTGAACCCTAGCGGCATTTGCCTTATTAGAAACTCAGTTGCTCTGCTGGTCTGGGTTGTCTCGTTGTCACAGCTTGGTCACATGTCAGAGGTTGTAATAGGAGCGAATAAAAACCTGGGCTAACTAAGCAGAAATCTAAAATGAATATTGACGTCTCTGTGATTGCTCCCTGTTGTCCCTATTCTCTGTTTAAAGGGTCGTCACTCATCTATAATTCTCATTATGGCCACCAGAGGGGGCTGCAACCCTCTGCCCCCTCCCTTATAGCCCCAGGTGCTAATAAGTCCTCAATTCAATTTTCCTCTTCATTAAATCTGTCTCCATTAGCCCGCGGCAGTGAAAGCTCAGCAAGAAACCTCCTCATGTGGTCAAACTCTGATGGCTGAATATGTGAAATTCAATGATACATGTGGGTAGGGGGTGTGCCCTGAACCCCGCCCCCCAGATGCCTTCAGCCTGCGTTTGGATGGACTCATATGGTGTTAGGGGGGCTGGGTTGAGTGCAGAGGGTGAGGTAGGGTGGGAGGTACTTCTGTTAGCTGATACGAAGCTGTGAGGTGGGGGAGGAGAGGGGGTCCAGGACAGATGGTTTAAAGAATAAAACAAGTTGTTTTAAGCTGTTAAGGGAGAGAGAGAGTGAGGGAGAAAACGGATAAAATGAGCTGATGATCTCTGAAAGCATCTGCTCTCATCGCTCCCCCTCCTTCTTCTCCTCCTACTTCTCCTCCTCTTCCTCCTTCGATCTGTGTTCGTGGTCTCTGACTGGGTGAACATCACACTCAGTGAAAGGCAGTGGTAGTTATAATGATGATGGTGTTGTTGATGGTGATAGTAACCACAATGTTGATGGTGATGATGATGTCTAATGGTCAGACTGGGTCAGCTATTTTTTTCTCGATCTCTGCAGGCTGTATCCAGTTGAGTATAAGAGACCCTGGTTATCGATATGAGACAATCCAAACAACAAGACCACAGTGATAATAAGATGACCCTGATATCAAAACCACTGGGATTATTAGATGGTCCTGATAATACTGTGACCCTGATCAAGACCACGCTGATAATTGTAAATATAGAACACGAAATTACGTAATATCCGAAGGAGAATTTTGACGCGCCTGATTATACACATCAAGCCTGATGCGATTTTGTGACTTTCTGGGGGGGAAAAAGATATGTCCCAGGTGGAAGCGAGACGACTGACACAACAGCAGACTGAGTGATTTTTAGTTCTGATTAGACACTACTGTTGAGATGGCTGTCTGTAGCATGTAGCATATTATTCTGCTTGACTATAGATAGCATTTACTGAGTCGGGGCCAGTACCAGATAAGCACATTAAACTATAATCCATAAACGTAAGGTAACAACCGAGACCTAATGGTGCTGTGACAGCAACGCAATTGGGTTTGAGACACAGAAAATGCATATGGTATGTTGTATCTGAACAGGTTAGCTTACGAGCTAAAGTTACTTAGCACAGATGAAAATTAAAACAAAGGCGTTTAGCAAATTGTTAAAGCACACAAACCATCGTCATATGAGAAATCCGACGCTATGGCTCTCCGCAAGTTGTCCTTCAGGTCGTTAGCTTTGTAATGTTTGTGTCTTTTATCAAAAAGCACTCTGTTCTCCAACAAGTAAACAAGCAGCCGGTCGGCCATTTTTGGATATATTGGTGGATCAGACGTCGCAACAACACGCAATCTGATTGGTTAGAAGTGGACACACAGTATTCAAAAATCGACCGTGATATGAAAAAATAAATGCCGCAATATCGCAGGACGGGAAAACGTCACTGATGTGAACGCTTGTATTGACAGGATACAGGTTCGAAATTTAAAAAAAAATATATATATATTTTTTGAAAATATATTGACATCTAGAATAATCGCATGTAAAAATCGGTTCTGGTGTGAAAGGACCTTTAGACTGAGATTTTCACATGACCCTGATTGTGAGACTGTCCTAATTGTCAGATGTCCAAGATTTTTAGACCACAATGACCACAATGAAATTCTAATATTTACAGGACATGATAATAAGTTCAACCTGTTTATGAGACGGCTCTCCCTTTCACCTCCAGGATGATGGCTTTTTGAAGATTAAAACATGTTTTTATGAAGAATCTGCGCTCAGATCTGCGCTCAGATCTGCGCAAGCTTGATAAATGAGGGCCAATGAGTCTAAATCAGTGGTTCTCAAGTCTAGTCCTTGTGGTCCACTGTCCTGCATGTTTTGGATGTTTCCCTCCTCCAACACACCTGATTCAAATGATCAGCTCGTTATCAAGCTCTGTAATGGCTTAATAACGAGCTAATTTGAATCAGGTGTGTTGGAGCAGGGAAACATCCCAAACATGCAGGACAGTGGGCCTTGAGGACTGGACTTGAGAACCACTGGTCTAAATGAAGCGTTTGCATGACCAGTGACTTAAAAACATAAATATTACAATAACCTGCTTTTTTGTTCAGCTCTGATATTGGGGACAACTTTGTATATTTTTCTCTTGGATGGTTTTTCTGATTGTTAAGTATTTCTGTTGACGACCAGTATCTTAAACTTAGCATCATAACTCTGCCTCAGTCGTTAATAACTCTGCCTACTTTTGAGTATCTTTGTCCTAGATGGTGGCTGTCTTTCTTTGTTTTATCTGCAGCTGTAGTTGTGAGTGACAGCTGGGACACTTGATTTAAGGCAAGATGAGCTACCAGCTGCTTTGAGAAAATTCTGGCATTCAAAAATCATCCACACTCTGGTGGTTATTTTACAAAACGTACTGTGTTTTGGCCTTACATTTGCTTGTAAACAGAGATTAAGGTCACTGAAAACTGATATCATTACCCTAATTTCCACGTGATGCTTGTTGCTCACACGTATAGCATATGTGCCAAGATGGCAGACAATCACCTTACAACTGTTTGGTTCTGTTAAGTTTGATTGCATGTTTAGGGAAACCCTGTGCTGTTCTTCATCATGACACTGTGGCGTGGAGAAAAGTAATTATATCACACTAAATAGTTTGCTATCCTACAGTCTGTACACTGTTTAAAGTACTCTGTTAATTATCACCACTTGCTCAAGAATACGCCCGATACACAATGTGACAAACTGAAACACACTATCGCCACTGATAGGTCCAGCATTTATTATTGGCTCTGCCTGGAATGGCTCATTTATTACTTCTTATTTTATCCCTCTGTTTAAAATTGTAAGTAAATGCCATAAAAATGTCTATACTGTCATCTAGTTTCATCTTTTACCCTTATTTGTAGATGCAGTGATGAACTGTATTCACATAGGATGTTTTTTGGAAATTATTTTGAGCCCATGTGGTGATTTCCACTAAAGAGTCCTGCTTGTTTTTAATGCAGTGCTTCCTGAGGGTCTGGAGATCAGGACCATCAAGTCTTGGTTTTGGTCCTTGTCCCTTTAGTACAGAGATTTCTCCCGATTCTCAGAATCTTTGAATGATATTTTGTTCTGTAGATGATGATATTCACTCATTCTTTCACTTTTGACACCCAGGAACATTTTTCTGAAACTGTTGATCTATTAGCTCAACAGATGGAAACGTCATCACATGCTAAGCCAAACGGTCAGCACTTATAGCCAATCAGAGGCGATAAGATAAGCACATGAAACTATGGTAACAACCGTTACCATACGTTAGCACAGATGAAAGTTAAAACAAAGACGTTTAGCAAACTGTTAAAGCACACAAACCATCGTCATATGAGAGATCAAACGCTATGACTCTCCACAAGTTGTCCTTCAGGCCGTTATCTTTGTAATGTTTGTGTGTTTTATCTAAAAGCACTCTTTTCTCTGACACGTAAACAATCAGCCGGTTGGCCATGTTGGATATACTGGTGAATCTGATGTCGCAACAACACGCAATCTGATTGGTCAGAAATGGACACACAGTATGCGAAACTTCAGAAAAATCGACCGTGATACGAAAAAATAAATGCTGCAATATCGCAGGACGGGAAAATGTCGCTGATATGAACGCTTGTATTGACAGGATATGGGTTCGAAAAAAATTATTGACGTCCGAAATAATCGCAAGATAAAAACGGTCCCGGTGTGAAAGGACCTTTACAAAACTTTTCATCTGCTTGGTTGTTGCTTTGAAAACTTTTTACAAACATGTTGCTCTTATCAAATTTAGAATAAGGAAATATTTTTCATACAACAGCAACATTTTTCAGTTTCACTATATGATTTGTTGTCCTTGCATCATTTTTAAATGGCATAGTGGGTTTAAATCCACTGACTTCTGTGACAGTTTTCAGACCTGTGGTTAAACAAGATAAATATTGAAAAAACTGTATAGAAGCTCTTTGCATCATGCAAACTGTCTGATGATGCTGATGATTTTGATTTTTGCAGACTTGCTCTCTGGAGTGTAAGGGCGGATTAGACAGTCAGAAGCTCCGTCTGTGCCGGGACCTTCTGCTGGAGGAGGAAAACCACGCTGGTCTGGATGTTGACCCCCGTGAACAGCAGGAACAGGAAGCAGCAACTGATGATGAGGATGACACATCACCTGAACACCAGCTGGCCAAGAAGTATGGAGGCTTTATGAAGCGCTATGGCGGTTTCATGTCCCGTCGTTCTTCATCTCCAGAAGGGGCACTTGAGGACCCTGGGAACCAGGAGGAGGAAGACATACGTCTGGAGATCCTGAAGTTCCTGAATGCAGCAGCAGGGCATGGTGGGGAGGGGGAGGGCCAGGGAGGGGAGGAGGTCAAGAGATATGGAGGCTTCATGCGTCGGGCTGAAGAAGGGACGGCACGCGGCGAGCTGCTGGAGGCGGTGCTGGGGCGGGGGCTGAAGAAGCGTTATGGAGGGTTCATGAGGCGCGTGGGCCGGCCAGAGTGGCTGGTGGACAGCAGCAAGAGCGGGGGGGTGCTGAAAAGGGCGTGGGAGAACAGCAGTGAGCTACAGAAGAGGTACGGGGGGTTCATGGACTAGGATGCTGCATTTATGATCTTCACTCCCCCAGCTCTCAAACCCACTCCCAACCGATCATCCTGTGGTCTGGACCTGTAGCTGTTTGAATCTTCGTTCTGCTAATCACAGTGCATCATGAGGCTACCTCCTCTTCCTCCTCCTCCACCTCTTCATCCGTCCAGTCCATCCTGTGGTGATAAAGAAGAAACTCGTACCGTTCTCACGTGCACTGATCATTTTTCACTCTGTTTTTGGTCTCTGTGATGATGTTATTTATTAAAGAATCTGTTGATTGAGGAGTCTGGCTCCAGTCTCTGATTTAAAAACACACCTTGGTCCTAAAACAGGTGAGTCATAAACCTTTAAAACTGCATCAGCTCACACTAACATTTAATGATCATGACCAAATAGCTGAAGAAACACCTGAGCTGAGACCACACCTGCCAAACCAAATATATCACAAGAACTCAAAGATGATGTTTCGAATGAAGTGCACACTTCTCTTAACAGTCTGAAAGTCTGTTTTGGATGTTTTGAGCTTTGAACTGAGTCCTGATCAAATAGAGGTCTGTAGCAATGAAGCACCCTGCACTGACTGCAGTACAATCCTAATGCCCCCCAAATACTGCAGGACTTATTTGACCCCTTCTTACATCTAAAGATAAAATACCAACAAGCTGGATTTTGCAAAGTCTGCAGATGTAGCTTGGTCACAAATTCGGAGATGGCTGTGTGCTCTTCATTGAACAACCTAATTTGCATAGGACTGGACTAAAGAGCTAAAATAATATGAAACAGATATGGTTATTTTTTCGTTTCCACAACAGATCCAGAGAAAGTTGTATGACTATGTGGCCATTTAATTAAGATAATTCTGAGTTTTATCAACTTCTTTCAAGACTAAAGCTCCTTACGCACCGCGGCAGGCACAAATATTGAACGCAAAAGCACAAAATATTCAGAGGCGAATTTTGACACGCCTGACGATACACATCAAGCCCGATGTGATTTTGCGACTTTCCGGGGGAAAAAGATGCATCCGGGAGAAGACTTTTCCAGGGAAAGTCCCGCCTCCTTCGCCTCTGATTGGCTGGAAAAGCTGGAAACGACATCACACGCTCAAGTCAAACGGTCAGCATTTACAGCCAATCAGAGGCAATAAGATAAGTTCATGAAACTATGGTAACAACCGTTAGCTTACGTTAGCGCAGATGAAAGTTAAAACAAAGACGTTAAGCAAACTGTTAAAGCACACAAACCATCGGCATATGAGAAATACAACGCTATGACTCTCCACAAGTTGTCCTTCAGGTCGTTATCTTTGTAACATTTGTGTCTTTTATCAAAAAACACTCTGTTCTCCGACACGTAAGCAATCAGTCGGTCGGCCATGTTGGATATACCGGTGAGTCTGACATCGCAACAACACGCAATCTGATTGGTCAGAAGTGGACACACAGTCTGTGAAACTTTAGAAAAATCGACCGTGATACGAAAAAATAAATGCCGCAATATCGCAGGACTGGAAAACGTCGCCGATGTGAACGATTGTATTGACAGGATATGGGTTTAAAAAAAAATATATTGACGTCCAAAATAATCGCACAACAAAAACGGTCCCGGTGTGTAAGGACCTTAATTCTCAGTCTTCCACTAAAATTATTCTATAAATCCTCACTGATTAACCCGGTTTCTTAGAGACTGGATATGGACAGTCTGATCTCCTCAGTAGAATATAAGAGCTTTTGGATGCCAAAGACACACGTGGTTTATCGCCAGAAAGCTGCTGGTCTAACAAAAGGAGTGGATTTTACAGGAAGATCACTACAATCTGCTGTTCTGACTTGACAGCTGATACTACAAACACAACAACTGTACAAATGTCTACAAAACAGCTTTAAAATCACTGATCACTAAACTTTAACTTTAAAATGACCCAATTTTTTCAGATGGATGACAAGGCCAAAAATCATTTTGTATTCATACCAATGCAGCATAAACTGTGATTGTTTAGAGTAATGGCTCAGCTGCCATCACTTACGTGCTGTCAGTGGAAACAAGCCCTGAAAACACTGAAGTTATGATGTTCCAAAGATAAACTAATGGGTCAATGCAATCACTGTAATCTGCATGACAAAAATATTCATAAACTGGGTCCAGATTAACAGATTAGCAATAGACCAGATTAAAGAATTAGTGACAGTAAAGCACACAAAACAAAAAAAAGTTAAAGTCCAAAAAAAAGTCCAGGATTAGCGAGGGCCCAGTTTTAGAAATATTAAAAATCCAGATTAAAGATGAAGAAAATTGTCCAAATAAAATAATCAGAAATTCCCCAGTTTCCAGTCTGGATGAGGATTGTGAAGTCTGTGATAAACGTAAATAAAAACAGAATACAAGGATTTGCAAATCCTTTTCAACCTATATTCAAGTGAATACACTACAAAGACAAGATATTCAATGTTCAAACTCATAAACTTTATTTATTTATTTATTTATTTGGCGAGTAATAATTAACTCAGAATTTCATGGCTGCAACACGTGCACGTATGACAATTTCTTAACTTCAATGGAATTGGGTTTTGTATATACTTGTATTCAGATTATTACAGGACATTATAACCACCACATACTTAAAAAAATACAATTTAAACTGAACATTTTAAATGATTTAGACCTTTTTGTAACTTGAAAGTCAAAACAAGTCTATCCATTATCAATCATAATGAGGTTAATTTACATGTGTTCACTCTTCTGTTTGTCACAGTTTGTGTGTCATCATCTACTAATTTCAGGGTAATTCAGCATGATCAATGCTCTTTGAACAGTAATTTTTTAAGCATAAAGAGAACATTTAATGTGATTCTACATTTCTTCATATGTGTTCCGTATGTGATCATTTATTCTATATAAACCAAGCATTCAATAACATTAATCATAGTGAGTATTAGATCTGACTCCTTTACCTGCCAAAAGTATAAGTTGGATCAAATAACCAGGGATCTTGAAGGTCTCCTCTATCGCCTCACACACACACCAGAGACACTCCCAGTTTGAAGGACATAAAACCAGTCAAGTTGGGGTGCTCTTACTTCGACTGGTTTTCTTTGCTTACTCTCTTTCCTATCTTCTTTCCTGCTCAGTCTCTTAGTTGTTTCTTCATTCTTTTGTTCTTTTTTAGATGTTAGTTTGTGTGAAATTTTGAAACAGTTTGGACTGACCATCGCGCTTCTTTTCCTTAGTTATCTGGATTGTTTCAAAGTTGCCTCTGAATGCCACACAGCTGGCCCAAAGTCATCATCCAAGCCAGGGTTTCACTGTGAGACCAAGAGAGCATCAAAAGGACCCTAAAGGTCCCGGTGCTGCATTCAGGCCTGTGGGCTGTGGCTCCTGGCCCATCATTGGGCTGACTTTGGTCCTCTCCTGACTCCAGATTGAAATATAGAACATAATCAAATTAAAGTTTAAGAAATGGTCCAGATTAAAGGATTAGACACAGTGCATATTACAGATAGAAAAAAAAAGTTAATATAGTTTTAGATTCAGTCCAGATTTAGGATCAGAAAAAGTCTAGATTAGTGAACAAGAAACAGTTAGATCAGAAGTTGTCTAATTTGAGAATTAGAAAAAGTCAACATGCAAATTTTGAAAATAGTCCAGATTTGATGCTGTAATTAAGTCTGGGTGAGATTTTACAAATATTCCAGATAACAGTATTGGAAATGGTCCAGACTAGGGTTTTATTAGTAGTCCACATAATAGTTTTAAAACTGGTCTAGATCAAACTGTAAAAACTAGTCCAAATAAAAGTTTTAGAAATAGTCTGAATGAAAAGATAATAATAGCCCATATTAAAGTATTGGAAACAGTTCATATCAAATTACAAGCAGTAGTCCATATTAAAGTATAAAGGTCCTTACACACCAGCGAATTTGTGGAGCGAAGCGAAAAAGAGAGACGAAAATATCCGGCTGTCCGAAAAACCGCTTTCGCCTACACACACCAGGCGAAAACTTCGACACAAGAGCGAAAAAATAAAAGACGCCTTTTGCCCCGCAGAAAAATTGCCGCCGATGTGGAAGCTTGCATTGACTTTATGCTGTTTTTAAAAAAGGCGAATAAAGGCAAATAATTCGCCTGGCAAATTCACGCCTGGTGTGTAAGGACCTTAAAGGGGGGAAAAAATGAAATAGTTATGAGCCTAAAAACTGAACACCCAGTCTGACTTTAAATCCTTGAAAACTGCTTTATAGCATGGCCCATACATTAGCTTTGATGCCCAGGTGATTTGACTCATTAACGTGGCTTTTATAAATTGGCCTGGTTGGCTTTGCCCTGGAGGGATAACCTGAGAACTCAGAAAACCAAGGTCACAGAGGTCATCAGCGTATTCACCTACCTAACACTTCACAAAGTGAAGACAGACTCTGCATGAACAGGACCTGCAGCTGCCCCTCAGACCCTCCTCATGATTCCTGAACCTCAGACTTCCTTAAACGACTAAGAGAGTGCAGTATGTGTTGTCTGGCTGCTGTACACATTAAGGTTAAAGGCTCCGTAATGGCGCGCCTGTTGGTTTTGATGGTCTAATCATCACAGGACACACAGTAAAAACAGCATTAGTCACAGAGCAGCACTGATTTGTTGTGTGGATTCCAGCTACATTCAGTAACATGAGCATGTTATGAGCTGAATGATCTCAGAAGACATCACCTCCATAAGTTGTTCAAGGAGGTCCCCATAAGATTATAGAAAAATTATACATGACATGCTGAAGTTTGAATATATACTCAACAGACTAAATAATTCAACCTCATTTTAGGGCATTACTAATAGCAGCACCACATGACTAAAGTTACAGCCCAATAAGAAAACAGGAGCATATTTCACAAGTGAGCATGCAGGTTTGTTAGCATCAAAAAGTCAGGCAGCTGTTTTCAGCCCTGTCATTTTATGTCCATCTCTGTACAAAATCACCACTGAACTAATTCACTGAGATCAAGGGTGTCATTGAATGGTCAGGTCAAGTTGAGAACTTCCTCTGCTCAATTAAAGAACATGTTACTTCAGACAGCCTGATATGCTGATAGACTGTAGATATTAAATTCAAACAGCCTGTTGCAGTTTGAATGCAGAAGTTTTCCCCTAAAAATCACTTTCAGCTTAGTACTATCAGGTTGTCTCCTAGTTGACGTGTTATATCAAAACAGCTGGCAAAACACTTAGCGAGAGTCACTACTATGGCTCTTTGCTGTTGGTTTTATCTTTTTTACCTCCTTTCTCTGTCTGTTGGGGTTTT